TTTCTCTTTTGATTATGTTATAAAAGAAATGGTAAACGTTGCAGCTGTGCAACCATGGAGTTATGGATGCACTTGGGAGGTTTGCTAAGCACTCAAGAAGCTAGAGTCGCACTCGGCTATCGCCTCGTGCGACTCTTACGCTTCTTTCGTGCTTAGCAACCTCCCGCGTGCATCCATAACTCCATGGTTGCACGCTGCACGTTTACCATTTCTTAATTATGGTATAGGTTATATCTATCAAAAGCCAGGAAGATAACTTGATGGGCTCAGATCAAAATAATTTTGTAAGCTTACAGGGCAGAAGGCAAAAGGAAGAAGTAACTCTTGAGGTTTTGCTGGTGTAACGACAGTCTTAGAAACAATGGTATCAGAAGGACTCCACAATCAAATCTGGCATGTCATATTATCCGCGTTGTCACTGCCTTCATAAATGAATTAAAGAAAGCTGTTGGAGAAGCTGACCCACGTCACGTTATTAGGGAGCCATGCTGAATCCTGTAAAGTTGGGATCCCAACGGGTTCGACTTTATATTCCACTTGTCATCCTTAGCTGAAAACTCTGCACCGTCCTATTCCCCTAACGATACGGTAGGCTACTTTAAATTTGAATTTAAAGATGGCAAAGGCAGTGAACTAGAGAAAGACCCGTTAAAGCGGGATATAGGGAATATCTCTTCCCTCAGAGAATCAAAGTATGTATCTTCAGCTTGATTACTTAACACGGTTGAGGTTTAACGAGAAATTCGCTTTTATCCCCAGGAACTTTTGCCAGACAGTGGTTAAAACATGGGATAGTCAGTGAAATCAGTGAGACAGGGATTGTACTCTGGCATGCAGATAACGGCCGACGTGATTCCTACTGTGCCCTTTACCTATCATAACGAGGTTTCACTGAATTATAGTACACTGCCCAATCACAAGACGTCTTGTCAGGAATGGAAGACTCAGGCGTTGCTGTGGAATATAGTTTATCTACACTGTATCTAATCCCAACACCCATCTCGACGCATGCAACGCATTCCTTTGAAAATGTAGTTTGGCGCATCTCTACTTCCAAACTGGAAACGAAGATCTTTCGAGGAGTAGCTGAGTGTAAGAGGAGCACTTACATTATTGGACAGATTCTTCTACAGCGCAGTGGACAAGTGCCTGATACAGATAGACTTGGATCTTGTTCGTGCTATGTACACACCTATCTATTGAAAACTGCATTTCTGTATGAACTGGCAAGAGTTCCAGCGGACGAAGAATGGGAGAGAGGTAACGTCGTCACGAGGTTGTTGCAAATATTTGAACTCTTAAAGAAGAACATCAAATCTGGATGTGTGAATTCCTTCTTCTTCAAGGAATACAATCTTGTTGTCACTGAGAACACCGTAACCGAGATAAAAGGTAGAATTTGGATTATAGATGCAATACTGTTGTTTCTTTCTGGCAAATATGACTTGCAGCTGGAACAAAACGATCCCCGGAGTATTGAAAAGATGCTACAAGATCAAAGACCAGAGTCTATCTCCACCAGGGAGGTGAATAAGTCACAAAGGCAAGAATTGTCCAGCTCTTAGAATTTACTCTCTTAGGATCTAGAGCTGAAGTGTCAATGTTACGGAAATGTTTTGCTTGTAACTGTGGTGGGAACGTTATGTTAACTATGATGTGTGTTAAGTTTCAGTACGTAAGAAATCTGGAGCCAAGAGATAAAAGTTGCTCCTTTTGTCAAAACAAAGATATGTTATACGTAAAAGCAAAGGTTTAAGTTTAGTTTAGGCCAACCAATTTGCTATTGAATAGAGTTAATTAACTAAATAAATGAATGAATACAAAAATAACCAGGGATAACTCTTGGCAGGAGAGAACAGAACTTTTGTCTCTGTCGACACTTCGCACCATAAATACGTTTCAGTTCTGTTGATTTTTTAAATTTAGTAACGTACGTACGTTTGTTTTGATAAAGGTTAAAAATCGCTTTGAAAGAGTAGAGGGTCAAAAGCACTTAAAAAGGAAATAATTGCAAACGAAAAAAAAAATACTCAAACACTCGAAGTCTGCGTGATCTGGGCCCGGTTGCATAAAACGCCCGTAACAGTTACGGGTATACGTAAGCGTACTCGTAACTTAAGTGAGTTGCATTAAATCACTTACGTGGTCCACTTAGGGATTTCACGTAAGTGGTTGCACTTACGATTTTCGTAAGTATCCACTTAAGTGTCATTTATGCAACAGAAACTGCGGGTGTTGCATAAAACCTTTTTTACGGGAAAATTAGCACGTAAATTTACGGGACCTATGTAGATCCCGTATCCTTACTGCATGTTTTTACTAAAGTTAACGAGATCTTTTACTGAGAAGTGAAAAAAAGGTTTTTTATTTACGTAATTCCGTTCTAATGCGCTTTGTTAACCTCTGATGTTCACTTTTTTTCAAAGCCATCCTTGAGAAAAAAAGTAGAACATCAATAAATATTGCAGTAAAATAACGATGGCATGCAAACGAATTTCAACGAAAGTCAACGAGCTTGATGAGTTGCACTCATAGGGTATTAAAATGTCAACCTTCAATGCTCCAGACGATTCATCGCAAACAAAGATGACGCAGAAATAGGAATAAGACAGAACCATCACACATGTACCGCCTTTCAGAGACAAACATATCTATTGATCTTATTGTAGACAAATGGAAACCATTAAAGGTATTCAACCCGGTATTCCTTAAAGGTTCTAAAAAAGGTTCAGCTTACATCATTTTCTGTAATCTCAGGATTTAATAACATTCGCACATTTGTTCATCCTTTTATCTCTTTCCGCTACCCGCAGGTAAGCCGGTTTTAAAATCCTCGAGGAGGAAAATCGGGACCGCCTATTTGCGCCTACTAATCCCTATAACCTGTCTTGATTAACCTGTAAAGTTAGGGTGAAAAAGACTTGGCAGATATGCGTTTATAACGATTCGTCGGGGTAGTGAAAGAGAATCCGGACAAACAGCATTGTTGCTCCTATTTATTTCGGAAGAAGCCGCTTTTAACAATTTGCAACCATTTTGACTCGACTATTGTTAAATCTTGCCATAAATTCACGATTCCCACAGCTGATTAGCGCACAACTCTCCAGGATGTCAATGAAACGGAATTCTGCAGATGAACAAGGCTCTAACCCCAGAAAACGAGCGTCGAATTTTAAGACGGATGAAGTCAAATTTTTTCTCCATGAAGTAAAAAAGAGAAAGATGACTCTATTCGGCACTTTATCTCCTACACTGACATTTAAATTGAAAATGCAAACATGCTTGGAGGTTCGTTATCAGTTAGTGGCCGCCGGGTTCCCACCAAGAACCAAGGAACAACTTAAAAAGAAATGGGAGGACTTGTCGTCAGCCACTAAAGCCAAATACGCCAAACGAAAGAAGACTAGGGCCTGTGGTGCAGTAAAGTGGGCCGACGTAGACAAGCTCATCACCGAGATACTTGCAAAAGAAAATCCCTCCCTCGTATCTATAGTTGGTGGAATAGACTCCGGAGATAATATTCAAGCCGGGGAACACACACTTGATGAAAGAAAAGAAGAGCATGAAGTTAAAATGAGAATTCTAAAAAAGAAGGAAGAGCTAGTTTATCTAAAGTTGCAGTTGTTCAGACGAAAACTTGACAGTGACGAGTTAGATTAGAACCTGTGCTGATATTACCTTAATAAACTATTTTTGATTATGTCGAAACTTCGAGGTCGATTTAAAAAAAAAAAAAACAGTTAAATGACGACACACTTTCTTCTGTTTAAAAATAGCGTTATCTCAGTAAAACCTGAATTTCCCTAATCATCTAACAGAGGCTTAAAAGTGTTCGAAACGACCAGATACTTTCTTTACACCCATCAATGGTTAGCTGAAAAAATAGAATGAGTCATTAATAAATGACTATATCAAAGTTACGTGTGCCCTTAAGAGAGCCCGTAAGTCACCACGTAAAACAGGAACTTACGAGAGTGCTAAGTGTGTTCCATGCAACACCCGTAAGTGCACCCATAACGGATTCAGGGAAAAGCCGTTGAGGATGCATTGCAATGCATCAAAATGTATGTAGCAGGAGTTTGAACCAAAACTGCCAAGGGATATTTTAAAAAAGTCGAGGAACAAGTCATTCTACCTCAGAGCAAGGTTTGGAGCAATTTATAGTGCTTCTAAAACTAAAAAGTACCTGTTAAAGAATAGCACGATAGGCAATCGGCTTTTGTTTTTAGAATAAGCAAACACTGAATTTACTTGTCCGAAAATTCAAACTGGTGTCTCCTTCTATCTGATAGCAATTTATTTTTGAAATTGCAAAACAATTTCACAGCTGAATTTTGAGCGACTTTTAGTTACGGACTTCTGCTCGAACGATTTTTCTGAAATTCCTCTGGCATATTTATTACATCAACTAGGAGTAATCGGAGCTTAGGAGAGTGCGTTCGATATGTTTGTTAGGCGTACAGGTAGCAGTTGAGGGGAAAGGGTGGTTGCGATATAGATAAATATGATTACGGCATATTTTGAACGTAAGGGTTGCGTACAGCGAAACCTCTATTTAAACTGTGTATCATTATAAGAAGGTTTTGAAAAGATATCGTATGGTTCGGTGTCAAGTGCTTGTCACCGCGAAAGCGTCGGGCGTGTAAATAGAACATTTTGTTTTACTGGCGCGAGTTACAGCGCGGCGCAGTTGCTCAAAGGCCGATCAGTGCTTACATGTAACCCGGGATTCTTTTTCTTTCTTCCAAAACATTTCTTCGGATAATTTTCCCTGTTATTTTTAAGAGCATCCAATCGTCCACTTGTTGACAAAATGATAATGTAACTTAAATGACAAAATTTTCGAAAGTGTAGACTTAAGTTTGAAGCGTGATTGGGACAGTTTCGGAAGTTACCTTACACACACGCCGAGTGCAGTTATTGAAAAGGTCTAATTTGGTCGAGCGTGTTGATTTTAGTGACTCGAGAGTGGGGGCTACTGTGGGCTGGTTTATAAGTTTTTCCTAATAAATAACATAGAGTTAAAGTGTTCGTTTGTCCGGTGCCGAAAGTATCACAAGTCATGATCCAATGGCGCCGCCGAGCTATACACAACTCCGTAGATTTACTTTGTGGCACAACGGCTGCCGAGCTACACAACTCCGTAGATTTACTTTGTGGCACAACGGCTGCCGAGCTACACAACTCCGTAGATTTACTTTGTGACACAACGGCCGCTGAGCTACACAACTCGGTAAATTTACTTTGTGGCACAACGACCGCCGAACTAAACCCGGTTTGATGTATGCACCAGGAGTCGCAGACTTTTTCCAAAGACAGTGGCGAACCATGCTGAAAAATATGAAGGCTTAATCCAAATTAAAATTTAACAGTAAACTCCTGCAAGATGAACGCTTTGGATGATTCAGCAAACACAGATCGATGTACGCTCTACAAAGATTCAGCAAACTTTTTAAAAGATGAAGACAGAATATCAGACCTCAGTGAAAGCCTTTGAAAGATGAACGCCGAGGACACAAGAATCACACACGAGTTAGCGCGTGAAAGTGAGGCAAAACGAAGGCAAGCGCCTCAAAGCGAGGCAAATGTGTGTCGACGACGAATATGCAATCTCAAAAAAACCTCCCTTATTAATTGCAGGACACCCAATAATGCGCAAAACACCCAACACAAATTAGGGGTTGCGTTCTCGTACCTCGAACGCAATTAAAGCCGATACCAGAAATTTCAGTAAAAAACATCAGCAATTTTTTTTACTAGACGCGATTTTCTTTGAACAGTAAGGTCCTTCTAAGCGCTCATTTAGAAAAACATATTTACCATCAATGAAATCAGAATATTTCGTACTATTACCGAATGATATCTGTTGTTCTTAGCAAAGTTTCTCAGCCATCGCGTTAAAAACGAAAAAGTTATGACGAAAACTTCGTCACAGCTGAATGCACCTGTATTAATGACGGAGCAACCTTTAATATTCGGGAAGGAAGGCTCGCTTTTGTAAGGTTATCCAAGAAAGTTTTGGATTCTGGATTTCACCCTGTGGATTCCGGTTTCATAACGCTCTACTAGTTATTCAAAATTTAGATAACGCTTGTACTCCATCGTAATTGACAATCAGTCAACTAACTTATGAACTGTAATACCACTGGTAACTAAAGCTTGGCTATGTTTACATGAAATAACGTGCTTTTATGACCTTTTTGCTGTCTTGTACAGCCTAACAGCTAAGAAAGATAACTTTATTATGTTGCATTTAGGATATCACCAATAAAAATCTATTTACAAAACTATTTACCATCACGTGGTCAAAAAATAAAGAACTATTTTTGTAAGGAACCTAATAAAATTTACTAGGCTATAAAAACAAGAATCTAGTTTATAGTATAGTACGCTATAAAAATAACAGCGGAACGTCCCTAGCAACGAGGAGTGAGGAGAGACGGCTGATTTCGTTGGCTAAGGAACAGGGGTGTAAACAGTACATATAAGGAGTTCCCAATTTCTTGTTTATTACGCAGATAAAACAAGGTAAAAAGTAAACATTCTGCAGGCCTATATACAACACAAGAGTTACAACTGTCTTGGAGTTGATATTTTTGGTTTATCCTTTGGAAGGAAGATTTTCGTCGTCACGCAATCCTCGGCTTGCTCGTCACCTTCTACTCAGTTATTTCGACTATCCATCAATTAGCAATTGTGTGATGGTAATAATAGCGTGGAAACCAAAGGCTGTGGTTTACTGTGACAATAAACTGCTAGCTTCAGGTAAATATCTTGGAACTTATTCAAGCTTTTCTGGTCATGAGAATTACCTTGATCTTAAATTTTGCTGATTTTACTTGATAAGGTTTATTAAGACTTCCTCTGGATGAAGTATTATCTCCTTTATTTTTTTAGCCAATTCATCACACCTTTGGCGACCGAAGAATTCGAACAAATTTAAATGTGTGATGAAGTAATGCGGGCAGTTGAACTGTTTCAAAGAGTCTTCCAGTCTCTGCAGAAAGCTAAGGAATCTCTCACTTAAACTATCATAGCTCCACTGGTTTGGATGTGGATAAGCTTCACATTCGTGTAACAAGATGGTTTTGAGGTGATATGATGTCAATGGATGAAGACGCAACTCTTCTCTCAGGGCCTTCAAAATTCTTAAAATCTGTTTGCGGCAAGAGCTGGCTTCACCGTCGCCTCCTCTGAGAAACAGCTTCTTTTCAGCTGCAGAGAAAGAAAATCTCCAGAAAATTCCGTTTTCATCTTCAGGAACGTTGTCTCCTTTTGGTTGTTTTGCAACAAGATGACAACCACCGTCACGAATTTCTTGTAAGAGCAGTGAATTAGGCCAACCTGAATTACCAAGTAAAAAAATAACATAACAATTGTTACCGATAAAACGAGCATTCTCCTTGTGAACAGGAGTTTCTGCATATAGCTCAAACGATAATTCCAGTGGTCATCTGGGGGATCCTCAGAGAGGCAACGAACTTCCGTAGAACTGAGAGTATGTATAGGGAGGACTATCTACATTTACCGGATCATTAGCAACAAAAAGTGAAAACATATAAGCAAAAAGGCACTCGTTTACTCAACACCAATAAAATGACAGGGAATTCACCAGGATACCGGCTTTTGCTACAGGAGATTACGTAAACTATGCTTACCTCGGGAGAAACCCAGGCTAGGTCCCGGTCGCCTTGTAATCCACTCAATAGCTTCATCGGGCCAGTCAATGAATTTGATAGCCAAGGTCAAGTCTACAGAATACTTTGTGCCATCATTTGTGTTGGTTATGTACAGGGTGATTGCTGGACCATGTGACTTAACAGCAACAGATCTGAAGATGGGAATTAGCAGGGAAGGAATTCATCTTTTTATTGTCAGTGTCAAATTCGGAGGTCGTGGGTTTGACTAGCACCGAGATTTTTAAAATAATTTCTTATCTCAAGCTGAGCTCCCTCATTCGCTATGCTCCCGCGAACGCTCAGTTGGAATTTGTGAGATTATGCGTGACTGTTAAATTTAAATGCTAAGTTAACTCTCTCTTCTATCATTTGAGTTACAAGTGCTGCTCGGCTCAACATTTTAAAGTAACATTCATTTCCTTTTTGTCGCCATTCACTACCATAATGGTATCCCCTGACCTGTCCCCATCAGGTCATCTGGCTCAGTCCGATCAGCCACAGTAGCCGTGAGTTCAATTCCCACCACGGTTCAAAGAGTTTTTTTCTTTGCTTCACCGTGTGGTTTTATAATTCGAGATGTTTTAACCCAAAATATTGGTTTTTTTTTCATTTGATGGTTCAGTTCAAATCCCTTATTCATTATTCTGCTCGGCATCGACTCCGAAACTTTTAATTGTCGTAGACGACTTTAACACCCAACTTATGCAAGAGAAATAGATCTTTCAATCGATAACCAACTGTTGGCGGTTTAATCTAGCCGGCCTGAGGGAAAAACGACAAAAAACATGTATCTTTCACAACAAAGTGGGATGAACAGTTTTTTCCAGTGAACAAATAAAAGCCTAATAAACTCCCAGCAAAAGGCGAAAACGGAGGAATAAAAGCAAACTAGCGGCGAGCAGGGAAAGAATGAACTAAAAAGCTGTAATTTAGCAATCTGTAAAAAAGGAAAGATCCTCGTTTTTTTCCTTCTTGACGTAAAGATTTTGCCGTTTTTTCTTAATGGTTATACTCGAACACGAGGCGGATTGCATTTTTGAGAAAGACCCATGGCTACTATGTTATCTCTTATTTAAAGCTATGGGAAACTGAGATAGCTTAATGAGACTGCTTAATAGATTAATATTAGCGAACGTAGCCGAAAGGAGGACGGTGAGACGCGCGCATAATCGCGTAGTTCCAGAAGAGGCCTACAGTGGTACGAGACTATTGCACACAAGGAAAGAGAATTAACACGCGTTCTGCGCGCGCATGGCTTTTCTCGAGCCAAATATATTTTTTTAATGCGCGAATGCTTGTCCGGCTCTGTTTAAATGAGTCTTGTTTGCTTACCTTGGATTAAAACCCAGCTTTACAATGGCTTCGCCAACAAGCCTTCTTAAGACTGCTTTAACTTGTGAAGCGTTTAACATTTCCTGTGTGAGACAGCTATCACGCTTCCACTTAAGACGGTTAGCTTCATTATTGATGGACACTCGAACGAATCCTAAACACAGAAAAAAAATAGGGAACATAACCTCATTTAAAGACATGTCACAAGGTTTAATTGGAACTATGATTTTGTCTGGTAGTTTAAAAGTACTAAAGACTTTAATGTAATTTAACCGGATAAAAACAACACGATGGAATTCCGATGTATAAAACGCGTTGCTTAGAAAGTGGAAACATCGTTTTTTTTATAACGGCCGGGGGTACGCGTTTAGCGGCAGGTACAAAACGCAGGTCACAGGTCACAGGTCAGGGCACAGGTCACAGGGCACAGGGCACAGGTCACAGGTCACAGGGCACAGGGCACAGGGCACAGGTTACAGGGCACAGGGCACAGGTCATAGGGCACAGAAAACGCAGTAAAAACAGTTAAGACACTCCATTAGGCTTTTTTGTTTTATTTCTGGTTACGCCACAATCAGGCATATGCTTGCCATCGACCATGCTTTCCGGTTTTGTACTGAGGGTTGAACAAGTAAATGGCTAAAGTTACACATTGTATTGGAACTTGAGGAGTTCCTTCTCTGGAGATCTCGAAACGAGGCTTTTTCTTCGCTCCACGCGAGCGGACTTGGAACGAGGCTCTGAGAGGAGAATGGAACGGAAAATAGCCTCGTCTGTGCAGAAAGCAACATGGCGGAAGACCAGAGTTTCGAGGTAAGAAAACAGCACTTGCTGACAAGTTATTTTGGCCTCAGTTCCACTGAAGAACTGAAAAATAACTTAGTGAATTATCAACACACGTCTACTTCGCTAACTATCGACTGTGCTGCAATCGTGAATTGCCGATTTCGGTTTGTTGCTGCGTACATTGATGTTTAAGACTTAAGTTGTCATTAAGTTGAGCAATGGAAACATGGTATGATTCTAGCCGTAGTTACGAAATAGTGACACCTTTTAGACCAAGACCGTTTGCATAATTTGAAAGTTTTTTATATAACTATAATCTTCAAAACCTAACGTACTTGTTCGGTATCGCTGTTAGCAGTCCATGCACCAGGACCGAGCTTTGTTCCATTTTATTACGCGAATGAAAGATGTATAGGATATGCAATGTGGCTTTGATCATTTCTGTTTTCATTACTTTTTTTTTAATTCTACAGGAAACAGATTACAAAGAAGCCGAGCTCGCCTCACAAGGATCTTCTTGGAGATTTCCCTCATCTTTGCTGGGATATACTTTGGTAGGTTTTCATTTAGCTTTTTAAGCTTGCTATCGAAAATAAACGGCTTTGCATGGTCGATGGCAAGCATATGCCTGATTGTGGCGTAACCGGAAATAAAACAAAAAAGCCTAATGGAGTGTCTTAACTGTTTTTACTGCGTTTTCTGTGCCCTATGACCTGTGCCCTGTGCCCTGTACCCTGTGACCTGTGCCCTGTGACCTGTGCCCTGACCTGTGACCTGTGACCTGCGTTTTGTACCTGCCGCGCGTTTAGGTACGTTTTATCAGTGTCCTGGGTAAAAGACCTTGTCACGGTTTTGGAATCCATCTTGACAACCGCGTGAGAAATTACGGAGTTTCTAGGAGAATCTAATGTCGAATAATTTCCGTTAAACGGCTGTTCTGAACAAAATACGAATCTAAAACAAGCCTCTGGAGAAATTTAAGCACAGGTTCTCCCCCAAGATTTTTTAGTACAATCCTTTCAGTAGCTAGCTTTAGTTCACAATTCATATTGTTTTCAGAACAGCCGTTTTACGGATATTATTCGACATTACATTATCATACAAACACTGTATACGTAATTTCTCACGAGGTTCAACCTAGCCGTCAAGATGGCTTCCAAAACAGTGACAAGGTCGACTTACATTCGACATAGTATAATTGGCGCATAATTGGGGCTATATTAATTTTGTACTATATATCTATGGATGTTTACGTTGTTATCGGGTGCGGTTCTATATATAAGAGCGCTTCGCTGAAAGTAAAAGCTATTTGTCGATGTGACTTGACATCCCTGATTTGGCTTAATGATAGTTTTAACTAAAAGACGCTATCGCTTTTTTATTTCGCAGTTTACACCCATGTTTTAAAATAAGATGTGACAAATTACAGAGGATATTATGGCCCTTGCAGTGTTCGCTAACCCAACTGTTCGTTGCCTAACTAGACACGATTGGAAAAGCTAGTTGATGGAAAACACGTGATTAATTTGGTAAACTGAAAAAAGCGAATAGACCTGATGTACCCACCTAATGGTGTATAATCTGTTGCCCTGTTTCCAGTGTTCATGTCACCGATATAACTGATCAGGCCGTTTATGTAAAAAATGAAACTGGTTCCTCTGATTCTGTAACCAATGTAACGAACAGGTAAATCCTCCATGACCAGCATCAAATCAAACTCGTTGGGCTCTTTAGCTTTTGCTCTTTCGTAATAGCTCCCGGTGGGGAAAGTACGCAGAGAGGCGAAACGATCATCTGTACTCTTCACGTAGTCCACAATCTCTTTTACAATTGGCTGCCAGCATTCCAAAGCTTTAGTTTTCATTTCTCGTCTTGTTTTCACATTACGTTCAGTGTACCAATTAAGAAAATTATTTAAATTCGGCCGCGGGTTACTCATCTTCCACCAGGAGATATACTTTTTCGTTTTTGCTGTGCCGTATCAGAAACAGGTTTTGGCGTCTTCGTCTTTTCCGAGAAATTTGGGCTCCACTTCCGGTTATAAAATTTCGTTCCCAATCTTCCTGGCCCGCAAGAAAACGGGATTAGATCTATATGATACAAACACTTTTTAAAGTTTAGTGTACTGTATTGAACTGAAAGCCGTTTGTACAGGTAATAGCATGATTTGTAGTGATATTTGTGTGGTCGGCCATTTGTTTCAAAATTATGACACGCTATATGTGCAGTTTTTTCACACGTATACTTGCAGTCATTCCTGCTACACCATATACGTGCGGTTTTTTGCCACGTATACTTGCGTTCTTTCCTGCTTTGTGGGGTTTTTGTTCCCAAGTATATGACCGTTTTCTTACAAACACGCATATATATGCGCACAAAAAAAGCCCATATATATGCGTTACAAACAAGCATGTGTATATGGGGTCACAGAAAGTCGTTGTATAAGGAGGCACCGAATTATACCGTCAGCAAAAAACCCTTTCATGTTAGATGGAGCTGAAAAGTAACTTCAGTTTGAATCAAGCATGGCCGCAATGGCCTCGTTAATTTCGAGCAAGGTGTGGTTCTTATTCCTTGCCCTCACAGTAGTGGTGGTTGTTGGCTCCCCGACAACGGAACTGCACGTATATCGTGTCATAATTTTGAAACAAATGGCCGACCATATATTTGGGAAAAATTTTGAAATTGTTACACGTAATCTCGCGAGCCGTGAGGCGAGTGAAATTTGAGACAATTTTGAAATATCACGAGTGGTATTTATGCCAAGTATTCGGGGGTGGAAGCGGAATATTTTGTTTTTAGTACTTAATATTCAGACTGTCAATATTCAATATTCAAACATCAATATTCAGGCTTCCATATTTATCTTATTTTCATTATTTCTACTGTTTTTTTGGCCAAATATCAGTTAACCGCGAACCCCATTGGCATTCTCAATTATGACCTCCCTCATTACTCATTGTTTTTCTATAAGAGCCACTTCCGTTATTGCAGCCTACCAAGACACAATGTATTCCTTTGCAATGAGTACTACCTAATGGCAGAGGTCGTTCAAAAAATATCAAATTATAAACAAAACATGCTCCTAGTTACTTTTAAGCAATAGACCACACTTTCTATGGGTTTACCGGCGTGATAACCCACGCGGGATGTTGGGAGAACACGAGAAAAGCTTGTAAATCACGAGCCGAAGGCGAGTGATTTACAAGCTTTTCGAGTGTTCTCCCAACATCCCAAGTGGGTTATCACGCCGGTAAACCCATAGAAAGTGTGGTCTATTGCTTTTATAAAATAACTTTTAATAAAATGGAGTCTTTTAGGTAAAAAATATGATTTTAGTACCGTGATCAAGTCATGTCTTCTCTCTAAAGTCATCATAAGCCAATCACGACTCACGATTTAATAGCGCTAAACTTTCTCAAAACTCAGTTCAGTCAAACAACAAACAGCAGCACTTCAAAACACGAGTTTTTGCACTCATTACATGATAACTTATGAAAGCTGTTTTACAGGAAAAGTCAACACATATTCATGCGAACGTACAATGAAAGAATACGTTCATGGTTTGTTTACTACAGAAGTAGAAATTGATTGAACATCAGACTGTACGCAGCTGTATTTTGTTGAGTCGATCCGTAAGAATTTCGTGCTTACAGAGGAAACTGGCAGCTATTGTAATGGAGGACTTCATTCACTTTTTACAAGCCGCAGTGGTTTAAGATCTGTTTCCTGGACTTTATTATGATCAAGAAATGCTGCGGTAACGACGTGGCTGCATTTGCGAAGTTGTCGCATGTAACTTTATATGCACGTACAGCGACCGATGGAAATATGTCAGTGGTGGAGAAAGGTTTCTTTGCCGTAGCCACATATTGGCGTTAATATTTGTCGATTTGTGAAGTCAGGTGGTGTGAGGTAGGTCATGGCATCGATATCATCGAATAATTTGTGCAAATGTTGGAAAAAACTAGCCCGAAACTCTGACATCTTTCATCATCGTTGGCAGCTTGTTTACAACCTCCAGCGGCCGATTTTGTACCATATCTTGATCAGAGATCTCTTTTTGAAACAATTTCTTTGATTAAGGAATTTAATTTTGAAATAAAATAAATCAAGAATGCTAAAACTATCCGTTTTGTTGCTGGTTGGCACATTGTTAAGTTTTCCTAGAGACTTTGTACACCAGAAATTCACACAGTTGTTGTCTTTCTCTGCGATTTGGCATCGTCGTGAAATGTAAACTGTTTTCCAGCTTTGTACTTTATAACTTCTAAAGCTATGGCAGTAGCGAATTGTGACGCTCAGTAATAAAATGTGAAAACCAACGCTTTTAATATTAAGAAGGGATGGGTAAGTAACTTGTTCTGTTTTTTAGCCTTTCTAAAATCGTTTGCAGATCAATAGCCGGTTTTGTTTATGGCTCGTGGTCCGGATGCCTTTTTCTATGGGTTTACCGGTATAATAAACCATAGGTTTTTGACCAATCAGATCACGCGTACTATCTCAGTTATTTTATAAATTGCAATAGACTATTATCTGTTCAAGTGGTAAACGTTGGTGAAAAAAGGCTTGACCTGGTTACAAACATTGGCCCAGTCTGATGGCGCTAATCCCCAACTAATTTTCAAAGTGAGAGTACACATAAAAACAAAATATAAACAGTGTCAAAACACGACAAAACAGTGCTTCATCAATGCAAATTATACACAATCCAATAGAAAAGTAGCGTGTTTCTGCCTTCATGGTTATCTCAGGTTATTTTATGAGCATATTTCACATGATCTTCGTATAACGAATAAGTGAATTTTCTAGAAAAATAAAGATTCATTATTCAAGTACATTTTTCACATTCAAACTAGATTTTCAAATATTCAAATTAACTTTTCAAATATTCAAAGTAAATTTTAAAATATTCAAACTAAGCTAAAGTCAATATTCAATATTCAATTTTCCGCTTCCATCCTCGAAAATATCACGTACTGGTACAAATCATGTTCTTATTTGTTTATACTACTACCCGAAAAAGGTTTGTAATTTTCACATGTAGATATTTCAAGTTAAGCAGAAATACCACTGCTCTGAGCCAATCAAATTGTAGAAATTTCTCATGTAGTAGTATATATATAACTGTGGAATTTCACGAAAAATGGACAACCTCGAGAAGCAATGTCAACGAACCAAGTGGCTTAGGTTGCGACCGACAGCTTTTCCTAAAATAAGGTCAGTTTGGATAATGAGTCGCGAGGTTCATTTTTCATTTACAACAAAAACTATGAAGAAAACACAGAGATTGTAAACAAGCACTTCTAACCAGTTTTCACTTTCGAAGATACTTAAGCTTACCCCACCTGCCCCTGTCATTGGTCAGCTTTCAATTAGAATTCTTGAATGAGGAAAGACATCACTCAATGACGGACCTTATCTCGTGCCCAGATCTCACCCTGTTTTACACTGAAAAGTGAGAGATCTCCCTTTCCCTTGGCAGTGGGATTATGACGGACCCTGATAAAATATCATCCCGGGCACTGAAGACTTTACCTTCAAAATGTGCACGAAAATAATTTCAAGCGATTCTAGTGTAATGAACGTGGAACCTCCCTAGAGAATGGAAAATGTCAGGAGCCCATCAAATGGAGCCTCCAGCTCCATTAATTTCTTGAGTCAACCCTTTCCCGAGTAGATTTATAAATAGAACGGCTTGTTTCCCGCGAAGAGTGTCATATTTCCGTAAGTCTCGAATGTCACGGTGAAAAAATAAAAATTGGATGAAGTCGAACTCAGAAGCCCGTCCTTCGACCGTTTTCCTTTTTTACTTTACGTCCATTTTTACAATTTTACAGCCGCTGGGATCTGGGTATCATGAAATAAAAGTTAATGAATTACCCGACTGAGAGCGAGCTGAGGATCACGGAAAGGTTATCTTTGCGAGTATCTCTTTTTGTTTTTCGCCGCCATGCATTCCACATTTAAGCATGCACCAAGAAAAGAGTCGACGATTAAGCGTTCTGTGGACGATTTGGAACTTTTCGATGACCAGCGCCGAAAAAGTGCCAGGATCATTTGATTTCTGTCATCACCGTGGAGTGGATTTCGCCAGTTAACTTAAGCACCGCGTGCAAAAGCGATACCTAAGTAGCAACTAACGAGGAATGCTTCAGTTCCGAAATTTGAGAAATTGCAGTTTTCCTTTACAACTGACTTGTATCACCATGAGAGTTGCCTGATAAAACTGGCACTTGAAAAGTTGAACAGAAGACAACAGTTGCTCGACCGTGAAGCTAACTCAAAAGTAATTTGCTAATGGAGGAATTTGTGACATCGCGCTCCATGCAGTCCAAAGACCTACTTATCTCAAGAAAAACAAAATGGATTTTATCTGCGCCAAAAGAATTATGACTGACTAACAGGACAATTCTCAGCAGTTAATGTAGACGTTTAGGTTAAATTCCTTCCTTCGAATTCGCATCTGTAGATCACTTTTTTTGCGAGAAAACAATGGCTGGGCCCGGCGTTACAAAACATAGCAGGGAATCATCACACTAGCTGACGGACAAAACAACCACAAGGACTACAAGTATTTATTCAAATAAAGGCATTTCGGGAAAAAAAAAACCGTGAAAAACCAGAAATTTGATTAATATTGAGTCATTGAGCCGAAATAAGAACCTTAACACTCAAAAAACTTGGCTAAAGAAAACGAATCCTGTCAGAACTACAGACTGCAGGTAGTAGTTAAACATTATGCATGTAACAGACCAGCTTCATGGCCTCTTATAAATGTGAGACAAGCAACCAAAATTAAGTTTACATAGTCAGAGTTTAAAACTCTCCACAGTATAATGTACCCGACAGAAAGAAAAAAAAGAAAATCTCTGAGGGATGAAAACGCTAAAGTCACGTTTCACTAGCCTATGATTGTGTTTGGCCTGTCAACACCGAATTTCCTGCTGTTTGATAAAGTACAATAGCAGTGTCATTTCGTCGTTGTGATTGCATGGCTCTTCCCACCGTCGGCGCGCGAAGTCTCCCCTGGGAACCGTTCTAATTATAAATCTACTCGGGAAAGGGTTGACTCCAAGGGCTTGTATGGGAGATGGATGCTCCATTTGATGGGCTCCTGAAAATGTCATTTGCTTGTCTTGAATTCAAGAAAAAAGATAAGTTTATGCCAAAATACAAAAAAATACAGGCCAATCTCCTTGGCGTATATCTTGGTTATACTATAAGTGTAAGTGATTTGCTATAATCACGTTACTTTTCGTTGCGTAACATCTGCGTCGTAGTTATGTAACAGTTATTAACGCAGATATTATCTTACACAATCAACACAATCGTACACTCAGAAAGACAGGTTATTTGGAAGAGAGAAAGACACGTTTATTTTAGAGTTTTTAAAAGAGTTCAGATAGGAAAAAGAGGTATGTTTTCGCTATCCCTTATTTACACACGTCATGTAGTTTGATTGTATTCCATATTATGTTGCTGATTATCCTTAAACCTTTTGAGTCGTTAATTGTAAATTTTATGTTGGGTTACGCCCCCATTTTTTGCGTCCAGATATATTTTGGTTAGTTATAGATATTTCGCTGTATTGTTATTTCAGTTTTTACGTGATTCCAAGCCACATTATTAAAGAATTATGACAGAGTAGACTGGCTTTTGGTGGAAATCGTTGTAAAGGCCCTTATCCTCGCGTGGTCAGAGAGTAAATTTGTGTTTGTTTACCGATCGACTCACCTCTGCCCCCGCTACAATAAGAGATCAACCACAAAATCCTCTTCAGCATGGCTTCATGAGAGGCTTCTCTACTGATTCCCAGCTTATCTAGTTGTCCTCACTGGATGAGCGGATCATGACAGATGCATATCATGTACTCTAGATTGACTCTCCTAATTTTTTGACATAGTCCCCTACCAGAGACTCCTAATCAGGCCTAATTGTTATGGCATCGCTATCAATAGTCTGCGTTGGATTGAGAAATTTCTGTTGAGCCGCAATCAGTGCATTAAGGTTGCTGGTAAAAATTCTTCCTGTCTTCAATGTCACCTCTGGCATCTCTCAAGGAACCGTCCTTATATGACCCCTTTTTTCAGTGACATTGATCCTAACCTCAATTTCAAAATGATAAGTTAATTGCTGATACTGTTCTCTATATGTACTACCGTAAATCCTCTTTTAAGCCCACTCCCCCCTTTCAAATAAGCCCCCTCCCTCTAATAAGCTCCCCCTAATTTTCAGGGGAAGCAAGTAAATAAGCCGCCCTTCCCCTCCCCCTTATTATTATTTATTTACCAACTGGAAGTTCGAATTTGATTCCGATCCTCAGCTGCATGACCTAAAACGTCTTCTACATTAGCTTTTCCACTTCGTATTCTATTTCTTCATGGAGAACTGATACCATCGTCGTTTCTAAATAAAATAAGCCCCCGTCTCTATTAAGCCCCTGCTCAAATGGGCTTGGAATAAATAGGCCCCCGCGGGGGGACTTAATACAGGATTTACGGTACTTCAGAATCTCAAGTGAGTCATGATGCCAGTCTATTTCTTCAAGACCTTGACACTCTATTTTCTTGGGCCACTACTTACTCTGGAAGTTTTTTTTTTTTTAACTTAACTAAATATAACTCTATGTTAATCGCCAGGTCACTTCTCATGTTCCCAGGGCCAGTGCTCGAAACTTCAGCTTTCCAGTCTTGACAATTAGAAATTGACTTTGTCAACTCAGTCAATCAATTGATCATTTATTTGCACTTAACAGAGTAAAGTGTAAAGTCACAGCAATTAAAAAGATCAAAGCCAATTTTAGGAGTATTAGTGTGGAGTCATCAGAGCCTTTTATAACGATAATAATATATCCCCACCAAATTACACTGACAGGGGGATTTTTTGCAAGGGAGGTTTTTTTCATCCTCTTCTTTCTGGATATACTAAACAACCCCATAACTTTTTGTGTGATGTAATTAGTTCTCTATTTCTTGTGTCTATTACGTTATCTAGTAGCAGGCGATCTCTGCAAGCTCAGCACATTCGTACTGAATATGATGGCCTGACATATTGTTAATCATTTAGCTATAATAGTGTATGTTCCACTATGTAGAGTCAATATATTTTTTGTTTAACAAAACATTTCAATTTTCTTTTAAACAATTGAATGGCTAACTTTACTTCTAGCCTTTTGATAAAGTGTTCTATACCATAGCACATCGGACTATAATTATTTAATTGACAATCGCTCTTAAGTAGATACAACATTTTGACAATGTCATGGCGCAGTTTCGTCACCAATAAGACAACAGACATAAACTGAACTGGTGTCAATTATTTTTTCAATTCTACTCTATTCAGGAACCAAAAAAGGGGTTGACTTGCCGATATTAAAACAATGCTTCGCGCCTTGGGGGTTAAACAGAAGTGTGATGCAATTTACAGTTTTTACAGCGTGGTCAACATAGGAAAAAACGATTTCTGTTGCGCTCCTGGTTGTTAACTATGGGAACCTTTTTTTGCAGATGGTACAATTATTCGCTGAAAGATCGCAAACAAAGTTCTGCGCAGTTTCAGCAGTTTGCTGTCTGTTACGAAACTCAGAGCTCCACTGTTCAATTTTGTGTACACTAACAGGTTGTAGACAAGGAGGTTATCAGGAACCTATGACATGCTAGTTAGCAATCTCAGTATGATTGACAAAACAGAATATTTGCATCTTGGACATCATACAAGAAGAAGTAGATTATGCTAGTTTTCATCACAAACTTGAACGTACTGGGAGTGCATAGCGGGAGTGATGGCAGGTGCGAATTCAACAACAGAAGGAAACCAGAAGAGGATCACAGAAATGTACTGCTCTGCAGAATTTATTGGAGAAGCCGACAGCGAGCTAATCTTTCTCTCAGTATTTAATAGTTTATTGTCTTTTACCGCATTTTTGGGCAACGCGCTTATCCTAGTCGCTCTTCACAAGGAATCTTCGCTTCATCCTCCATCCAAACTCCTGTATCGTAACTTGGCGATAGCTGATCTCTGTGTTGGTATCATTGCGCAGCCTGTAGATGTTGCCAATTGGATGTCTGCGGTGAACGAAGGGTGGACTATCTGTTATTATACAGAATTAACAGCTTTCATTACATCTCATATTTTGTGCTCTGTGTCCCTGTTGACATCGACGGCAATAAGCGTGGACAGACTTCTCGCGCTTTTGCTGATGTTGAAATACAGGCAAGTTGTAACTTTGCGAAGAACATATTTAACTACCATCGTTGTTTGGGTTTTTTGTATCGCCGCAACATCAAGTTACTTTTTGAATCCAGTGGTGGTGCCTTGGTTTATCTACACTGGTATATCTCTGTCTCTAGTTACCTCAATTTTGTCTTACACGAAAATTTTCTGCACTTTACATCGTAACCAAAACCAAGTAAGGGACCTGGGAAACATAAGCCAAGAAATTCCACTGAACATATCTCGATTCAGAAACGCAGTGTCCACGGCATTGTGGGTGCAGGTGACACTGGTTGTTTGTTATTTGCCCTATGGTATAACGGTAGCTTTAACGCCTCCAAGAGAGTTACCTTCATCGATTTACCTTGCCAGGCAATTTGCGGCTACCCTAGTATTCTTTAAGTCAACATTAAACCCACTGCTTTACTGCTGGAAGATCAGAGAAGTAAGGCAAACCGTCAAAGACATCATCAGAAAACATTGCCAGAGTTGTTAGTGGGTTTGATATTTTTCGAGCCGTTCGTTTTGTCAATGAATTCCATGCCATTGTATAGTATATTAATAAGATCGTTAACAGCTATTCAAAGGTACTAGACAGTCATTATCGGAACTTTTTTGTTTTTTTCGTCTAAAATATCAATCTTTAATACTTCAGAGTACAATATGTGTAGTACACACTATTTTTTACCGTGTATTTATTGTTTAATATGTAGCTTCTTTTCGAGAACCATAAGGAATGCACTATGACAATCTCCTTGTACGATAAGAGCAGAAATTAAAGTTACTCAAATGTTTGTCAATATCTTAGCAACGTTTTTTAGGTTCATCTCACCAATATATATATTTTCTCATTTTTTTTCTGCACTATTCATCTCTTTTTGATGCGTCTCCGCTCCGTCAACTTATAAGTCTTGACACCAAGCAAATTATAAATGCTAATTATAATTTACTGCACACTTATGATACTGATGATTTGTAACATAAAAAAATATGCCGAATAAATGCAAGGAGATTATCCCAGTAAAGGACACAACTTATGCAGGTGAGAAAAGAAAGCCAGCAGAATTCACGCTTTGCGGGGATTCGAACCCTGATCTCTGCAATACCCTTGTAGTGCTCTAACCAATCGAGTTAGCAAGCCAACTGCTGGCAGCTGGTCAGCAAATTGGTTCGTAATATACCAGGGGAGATGAAGATGAAGCGATAATATCAATGACATTCACAATATTCATCGTTTCACAAAAATATAAAGTGTACACTTTGTCTCAAAGGAAGCATTTATTAGTGAAAATTTTGCTTTTTAAAATAGTAGTGCGAAATTTAATCCTGTGTACACTGAGTCAAACTTCATGGCAGACGAATTGTTAGTTTTTTTCGGTATATTTCACTGAGACAAAACTTTGCAGTTGCGAAACTACTCTCTCTAATACATACAAAGTAGTTTATTTGTGAATTCTTAATTGGCAGAGGTGGCAGTACTGCAATTGTCAATTGTCGATGCGTATGCTCATTAACATGTGCCGAGCTGAACTTAACTGTTCGGGTTGCCGTCAGCGATTGGTCGGAAGAGTTGTTAATAGCTCGAAACTTCAGGGCGGAAAAACGTTCTGCGCAAGCTTCTGCGCATCCCTTATCGCAGGCTCAAGGCGGGCTTTTCTGTGTGTTGACGATCTTGAGTTCTGAGTGAAATGCACGAGGTGCGAACGTTTGCTCCCTGTAAAGCATTTTTATTTGAAATGTTTGCTTTTTTTTCGTCTCTTGAAAATTACTTTGGATTCAGAACAACCAATGCTAAAGGAAAAACGGATCATTCCGTCAGTCTGAAGTGGAATAAAAGGTTTTTGAACATTTCTTAAGAGGCGAGTATTTTTCTGATTGTGCATCCGATTAATTTATGAGTTGATTTCGCCGGGTTGAATTAAAACCCGCTTGTATTCTGTTATTAGTAGTTACGGTTACTTTTTTTACATGCCCAGATTTATTACCTTTGCAGAACCAGCTTTATCTTTGTCTTCAGTCAAAGAACCATATTGCTGTTTTAACGCATCAGAGTGAACAAACTTGTGCGCTTATTAAACTTTCTCGGGAATAGAAGGCCAGCAAACTTACTCAAGATCATTTTTCTGTTGCTCAAGTAATAATAGTCAGAGTTTTTTTTTTCCTTTTTCATTACATAGTTTTGTTTTCCAGTGCACTGTGAAAGTTTCTGTTCTTTATAAGAATAACTTTCTGTACGCAAATTGTCCTTTTCACTCGCTGTGAAGTAGAGAACGACAACTGCCGGCAGTGACTTCAAAACAATTGACTCTTTTCCCGTAAACAATTGCTGCAGCTTGATTTGACTGAGGCGAGCAAAACAAACCCTTATGTGCAATTTTCTGTATTTTCTAATGATCGGCTGAGTTTAATTTGCTTAAACGAAGACCCTCGCATGGACCAGTTAAGCTTATTGAAAATAGCTTAATGTATCTATTGTAATGACCTCCAACACACAACCAATATGAGCGCCTTGTCACATGGTTGCAAGCCAAGAATAGAGGTTTTTGAAAACTTGTTGGCCTAAAGTTCATTCTTTTTGCCAGTAACTTTTGATAAAAATGTAGTGCTTGGGGACAAATTTGTTTACATGAAACAGTGATGTTGTTATTTTCAAGTAGTATTTCTTCACTTACACTAGGTTCTACTGAGAATAAGGACTTTTATTATTCCACTATTATGTCATTTTACCATATAAGGTCAAGAGAACAAGCAAAATTAGAACACTTATTCAGTCGTAATAAAAAGCTTTATGCTTTAAAAGAGGTCAAAGAAAATGCTCTTGTGTTAGAAGGCAGGTCTTGCCGACCAGAAACAGAAACCACAGTAAATCAATATGTGTTCCACGACATCTCAGTGTGAAACAAGTGGCGAAAATCACATTTGTTCAGTGAAACTGTAGAACCTTCCAGAGCATAATCTACCCAGCAGAGGAAAAAAACTTATTGGAACGAGCAACATTTTGGTAGGAGGTAAAAGTAGTTTTAATAGGCCTACCAACCAACCCCTTTTATTGCTGTGCGCCCGATAAACATGCTATGGCGGATCCCATGCCAGCCACGATAGAATCAGGTAAATCCCACTATTTATAGTAGTGCGATTTGAATACCCCACTCGATGCATGAATCTGCCATAATCACCCAGCGTGCAAAGGAAGTAGTGTCCGATAGCCTGGGGCTAGTGGATTTTGCTATCAGGCTAGTGAGTTCTGTTATTAACTTGCCCGATGGGCAAGTGAAGTTTTTTTAGGAATTCAAATTACAGAAGTACTGTCAAATCAATCTGCTCATCAAAACATTTTTGGGGCTACTTGAAATGATGTTTGGGCTAGTAAATGTTAGCTTCAGCTTGCCTGAATGGCAAGCTGTAAAAATGACTTTCTTTGCACCCTGTCACCATACTAATAGGAATCTAAGCAAGTGCAAACTCTGCCGCTATGTTTGTGCAATTTTACGCACTAAGCAAGATGGATTAAACAGCCACCCACCCGACAAAGGCTTCTATTGTCTTGACCCAGGCAGGCTACCTGGTCTTGATCAATGATCACCGAAGTGTGAACGAAAATTCACAAATCGTGTTGAAAATACAGGTGGTTGAGTTTGAAATATGACTCGGTAAGTGGCAAAATGCCCTGAGTATTGGTTCAAGTATTCAAGCTTATAAAAAGTAGCAATATTGGAAAATTTGTCTGGTGTATAGTTTTATTCATGGCGCCGAGTTGAAAATTGGATGGTTCTACTATGTAATTTGACGAAGCGAGTTGAAAATACACAGCGAACAAGTTCAAATAGAAGAGTTAAGTTCAAAAGCTAAGGGGCGCGAGCATAAAAACGTTTTCTTCTAAATGGAGAGTGTAAAATTTTGAATTCAGCTATAAAATTCAAGTACCGAGGTTAGAGATTTAAATGATGCATTTAAAATTGAAACCATGAATTTTGGCAGGGATCGTACGCCATAAGCCTGACTTTGTCTCTACCCCCTGGTGTGTGCCAAGTATGATTTCTAAGAGGAATGTCAAACTGTGTTCAATGCAATTCTGTGTTTGTCCTTGTTTTCTTGAAAATAAGGCATAATGAAACAACTATTAGAATTGGTTTTTGTGATATTTGGAATAATCAAGGTCTCGGTAAGTGTTATCAGCCTCAGCCTTCGGCTCAGCTGATGTCATTTAGTCAATCCTCTCCCTTGATTATTTCTGGATATCACAAAACCCTTATTTTGTTCAGCTGTTGATAATAATAATGTTATTGAGGACAATTACCTGTCTTTTTCCTTCAATTCTCAATTTATTTTTGTGCATGCTTCACAGCAGGTATGTCAATACCAGAAATTTCAAACCCATTGAATTTATTGGGTGGCAACAAGCTACCTTAAACTTCAAGGACACTTTGAAGGATTCGTGCTGATCTCATCAAGACTGTTCTTTGAAGTGCAGTGCCAACTCTATCCCAGAATTATTTATGTTTTTTTCAGTTAAACCTCCAGGTCTTCAGAATAGTACCCAGTGCTCCAAAACAAAAGGGGCAACTTTTACACCCTTTATCTTTCACAAGACTTAGTAGTATCTTCATGCCAGATGAAGATATTAAGTCTTGTTGTCTATACTTGTTTTTGATCTCTTGTTCGATGTCCACGCTTTTGTCACAAGGACATGCAATATCAGTGAGGAGGCAATTTTTGTTCTGTTGGTCCACACACACGCTGTCAAGGCGATTGTGATCCAGTTTCCTTTCTGTTTATATACAGAAATCCGAAAGAAATTTGAAAGTCTTATTATCCTTAACATCACAATATTATTATTACAGGTATCATTATTATTATTGTTGTTGATGATGATGTTATTATAAGCATGGGTAGTAATGAGGTTCATACACATGTACAAAAATAAACTACCTTAACCACTATTTTGGGCACTAATTAATTTGTGGTTATTGCTCACTCTTTTCAATGGCTGTGCTTTGCAGATTTTAGTAAACAGATGAAGGTGCGAACAGATGGTTAAGGAGACCCTGCAGAAGCTAGATGCCAGCTCCTTGGTTAATTCTTCCAAACCCCAGAGTTCAAGGAGATCCACCTACAAGCCAACCACCCTTTAGTTCACGTGCATGGCCATTGTCGTTGATTAGCAGGGCAGCTAGTTGTCACACCAGTACATCCTCCTTCACTGCAGCCTCCCTCCCCACATTCTCCTTTACTTTAAGGAGTGGCAGTGATGATGAACATAGGATGGAGAATGGATGGATTACTCGCTAGTTGTTGCCATTGTTTGATTAAATTTAATATCTTCACTTTGAATTCTATTATAATTTTTGCAAAACTTTTTTTTAGAAAAAATTGAAATGTTTTGAAATCACTCATTCTGAATATTCCAATCAACCTTGCAACTGTACCTTGTATATTTCTTTGAATGAATTGTCAACATGTCCGAACACTTTTTAGAGTTAGGTTTATCAACTGACACAACTTTGCACGTTTTCCTGTCAGAATTATCAAACTTTGTTCCTGTATTTGAACTTTAAAATAAATGATGTTACGCGATTTAAAACCTGTGTTTTCCCCTCATGCGTTGGGCAATTAGTTAAAGTGAATAAGACTGGGGCGGTGATAAAAATGGTAGAATGGTCGGAACTGTTAAAAATCATTTTCAGTATAATACTGCAACCCCACAAATAAGTCCCTGAAATGCAATGAAGTTCAATGCTGACCAGGAAACATATCGTGAGGTATCAATGGAGTGAAAAGGCGGTATCAGTTTTTTCAATATCATGCATGGAAATTGAAAGTATCGTCGAATTTAGTACAATAAACGTGTTGCAATTTTCGCGTATCAGGGAGTTTTGCCACGATTTCAACATCGGTAATTTCATGAACCGTGGAATTCCAGTGGTGTTTGAGTCCCTGGTATTTCACGTACCATGGAATTTCGGGGAAGAGAAAACACTCGAAACTTCACGTATCGTGGAATTTCATCGCATTCTACGGAATAGAATCTTCACGTGTCCTGAACGTTTGGAGTATAAATTAGGATAACACAATCCGTAGCGTGGAATTTTAGTGAAAATGAAAGGCAAAAATTGTAGCGTTCATCAACGGCACTCCATGATTCTCAGCAAATCTAGAAAAATAAGGACGTTTACAGGTCTTGACACGCCGCGTTTCAATGACGTGTCCGGATATCGGATATTCCATGCCGCGGAAAAAGTTCGATTCAGGAAAAATACGGGTCCTGATACTCAATGTATACGCTGCGTGTCCGGAACCCGATACCTCTCCATACTTCCGTTTTTCTCAAGAATACGGGTTCGTATCGACTAATATCGGGACCATGACACAACTCATTTCACACAGTGATGGTGAATCATGGCTTGGCTGCCAAGTTGCAACTGATCTTTTGCTTTTAAGATCTTTAGGTAGGTTGTTTTCGCACAGAAAATTCATTTCTTCATTGTCTGCAGGAAGTTTTTAAAATAATGTAACTTTAACTTTGTTTGAAGGAAATCCTACTCACGCGTAGGTTTTTGATAGATGTTTAATGCGTGTTCAACTTGACAACACAAAGCAAAATTTATATATCTGCGCGAAACGAGCAAGTTTAAAAAACTATAGTTGCTTTTAAACCAATTTTGGGAAGATTTTACTAGATAACGATTGACCTTTTTCCTACCCACATATCAACGCAATAACTTCTACATTGAGGATTTTGTTTATATTTTAGCGATCTGCGAAACTACGAGTGTCCGATTGAGCGAGGGTTTTAAAATATCAGCTCGAGTGCGACAAAGTTCAGTGACTTCAAACACATTGTGGGCAAGCGTTAATTTTTTTGGGCAAATCACTGTCCAAAGATATGTTGTTGTTGTGTCCACAGTGGAGCTCCGGACCTTATATATCCAGGAACTTCCTTATATGAACACATTTTGTGAATGCATCTCGAAAAAAATCGGACCTACCCATGCACATTTCCAGTACAACGCAAGGAAATAAATGTCGTTAAAGTCCGTTTTACTATGAGGTATTCTTCGAGAAAATTAAGTAACGACAAGGTTATAACCACAGCTTGCAACTTTTGAAGACAAATTGCCTGTTCTTACCAGATTATGAGTGGAAACATTTTATTTTTAGGCAATAAAATATTTGAAATCCCGCCATTTTTTCAAACCCGGCCAGGGGATCTGGGCAAAAAAGCTCACGCATGCTCATTACGTTTTTCCGCCCTGAAGCTCGAAACAGGTGGGCATTTTGCTTGCGCAAGCGTGCGTCCGCTGAAAGACAATAACGTGGGCGTTTCAAATCTGATAGCGGGAAATCGAAAACTCGCGTGAAGTTACAGTTCTTTTAAAAGCCATTTCGTTGTTGTTTTGAATACCGTACTTTCCCACAAAAAATGTTCTCCATGACAAAAATCGGACGTTTTCTACGCGGGTTTTCAGTTGTAGATTTTTCAGCAATAGGTTTTGTTGAACTTTTAAAGACTTTAAAGACTCAACGCCCAAAATCACTGTTCCTGTTCAAGTCTGATTTTCACTGGCAAAGCATTGCATTTCTATGGTTTGATTTCCAAACTCATGGTTTAACTTATCAAGGAAGAAACGCATCGAAGCAATGTTCAGCTGCTTTAAGAAAAGCGAAAATATTTTTACAGCGCGAGGTTTATTTATTTGCGCGATGTCTCATTAAACTGATCGCGGAGACACGCGTTTATATATGCCACAAAAACATGAAATCTATGAGTATTTTTTTTTTACAGTTTTTCGAAAGTTTTCAGGGAAAAAATATATAAAAATAGTCTACAGGAAATGAAGAATGGATTGAGTCTGAGACAGCATTAATGCAAAGTGATTATGTACTTCATAATCACTTGAGCATTTCATAAGCTCACTTGCAGACAAAACAAACGCACCCCGAAAAAACGAACAATACTTTTATTTTTCTTTTACCCTAAGAAATACGGAGATTTTTCCTAAGGTACTATTTTGAAGCGACTCTTGAGTAACAGCCCCTCTGTTCCGCAATCGATTTCTTATTATTAATTTATATTTGATGACAGTACTCATCCATTCAAAACAGAGAATGGCCGTCACTCCATAAATCTAACTGCGATGTTTATTCACCCTTAAAGCCTGTTAAAACATGACAGGAAGTTTGTTAGAGGGGTGCATATCATGTTTTCTCAAAAAAGAAATACTACTGGTAAAGAAACCAAATGAGTAGGGATGCGAAAACAAACATGACACAAATGGATGGGTGCGCATGCCCTACTGTTACAGCTCGGTAACTCAGAGCAATCCTTCATTCACTGTAAATTAAAAAGATCTGTTTCAGCCCCAAAGTGTCAATTCAGCCCTTCCTGGAGCCATTTGAGCACGATTTAGGCCAAAAAAAGCTCAATCAAAAGGCTATTCCAGCCCACGGTAGGTACCATTTCAGCCCTAGGTCCAAATCAGCCCTAGCTAATTGGACTGTATTGGCCCTGATTTAAGGGAGCCAAATCAGACCCCAAAATGGGACTGTATTTTACTCACCGAAACGGCCCTGTTTTTAGGGCTAAAACAGATCTTTCTGATTTAGAGTGTTGCCTCCAACCCAGTGCCTTGCAAATCAAACGGGCGCCTGGGACAGAACTTGGGATTTACCTGACAAAATGACGGAATGGTTAAGAATCAGTGAAATCCGCCGACTGTTTAGGATTTTTTTACATATTGAAAACTCGATCATGGTCTGTGTTACTCTATAGTGACATTTTACGATAAACGTGTTAGGTGAGACGACGTGGCATCTACAATGGGATTTCTGTCAACCTTTTTTGTTATTATCTATAAATAAAGCGATTGTTGATTTGACCTCACTTCCCATTTCATGCAGTTTACGCAGGTCAGCCTATGATCATGAAAAATGAATACAAAGTGTACACCTCGGTTTTTTTCCATCTAATATTCAATATGAATGACAGCTGTTAAAAATTAAGACATAAAAACTGAAAGCAGTAGTGTGTAGAGCTTATTATAAAATTGTTCTTCGTTAATTTTCAGAATTCCACAGAATCTCGCCTTGTGTCAGCATCTAACTTGTGAAAGACTATTAGGGTTGGTTATTTAAACGAAGTCTAATTTAAACCGCGGTTTAATGAATCTTTAGACCTCCATATCTCTTCATCAGTGAGTCATTTAAAAAGAGAAAAGCTTTTCTCGGGCGTCTACGCTAAATGCATTCAAGAAACTGTTCACGATAAATGGTACGGTGTTTACATAAAATCGTTGACAAACTGAAAATGGCTTAGAACGCGGTTTTATTAAACACTGGCTAAACTCCGTTTAAAAAACTGGGCCTAAGACTTTTCATTGCCAGATGCATTGGTTTAAAAGTCATTAAAACTGACAGAGCTCAATCTGTAGAAGACGTCCGCTACGTCTAGTATGTAACTGATTCTTCCTGATTTTGAAATCTCAGTATTTTTGGCTTTTGATTGTTTGTTTGTTTTGACGAAAAAAAGAAACCAAATTGTAATCTTTCACAAAAGTGTATATGCAATTAGGACACTTAAAAGCATTTTTTTTTCACCAAAGAGAAAAACGCTTTGCTAAGCATTACGGAAATCTTGAGCATGATACATGATAACATAACTCCTTGACAAGGTCCTTGCTAACAAAATCCGTTGTACATCCTCTAAATTGTCATGCTTTTAGCCACCAAACAAAGGTTGATGCTTTCGATAGGTAAAGTCAGTGTTTTATATGTCGTCTTTTTCGTTGTGATGTTCGTCTGTTACTTTCATCACCGCTTCCCACCACAGAGTACCTTCGATGGTAAACGTGCGAGTCACTGGTGTTGGGTAGTGGAATACATGTGGCTCGTATGGCTGACACCACCATCTTGCGAAACGATTATACTTATTAACATGACCCCAGCCAGAGGTGGGTCGCCAAATTTTGAAACGGACTTTTATTTCCTTCGCATTTTCAGTAAGTTTAATTTTCTTTCTGTTCCCTCTGACTTTCTTTGTAACCTCTTTGTCGTCTTGTATGTAGCTTACAATCATTTGGGATAATGCAGGCAACCACCAACCATTAGATATGTACATGATAAGTCCACCTCTCTGATTGAATGATTCATGATTTTCAGTCATTTGCGCGCCAACTGCTTCTTGGGTACATTCTGAGTCAGAGTCATCTCCGTTGCCCTCTTTATAGGTTAGATTTTGCAGATCAACATTTTGTTGTGTGAACATTTTTACAAGCTCAAACGCTTTCTCAATAACAACGTCGTCGGACTGTAGAGAAAAAATTTCGTCTGGAAGCTCTTCAGCATCGTCTGAGAGCTTTTCTGCCAATTCGCCACCTTTTTCAATCAAAACTCTCGTGAGTTTTGAGCTTGACGGAACTGGAAGTTGCTCCAACAAGCACTTCGTTTGATCAAACATTGATGGACTCTGTTCGCTAATTTCTTCGACTACTCCCTCAGCATTTTCTAGTATTGTTGAAGCCCCTTCGCTCATGTCCCCCACTGCTCCCTCAAGGTCGGATGCTGCTGCTGTAGTTTGAGAACCGAGGTGCATAGCCTTGGCAATACCAGCCCCCACAAGAGTTGCAGCAACGGCTGCGGCACAATGACAAGTTGCGTGACAGACAGCCTGCTTAGTGGTGATCTCGCGGCCATCGATGAAATATTTTTTCGCATCCGTGCCGAGGGATGAAGCAGTAGCACATCCAGCAGCAATGGCGATTCTAATTCCAGTGAACTCACTAACTGAGAGGGCTGCAGACTTCAAAATAAGGGATGTTCCTATGGCCGCTCCACCCGGAAGAGACGCAAGGAGACATCCAATACCTGTTGACAATAGCCACTGTTTAACATTACACCCATCTAAGACGGCCTCCTTGCTAATGGTCTCACTTAAAGAATTTATCCCACCACTGATAACGCTCAATAACAAAGGACATGAGAAACCAGCAGTGAGAACAACTGCCACGATACCCCCAATTGTAAGACCAGCCGATAAAGCAAGCAGGCCCATTCTCTTCTTCCACGCCAGACTTTGAGCCATAGTCTCGCACTCAGGCCAAAACACAGCTTTGAATCGTTTCCCTGACAGCCACCCTTTGTCGTAGTCCGCCAAGTTGTTGTACCGCGCTCGTTTTTCTCGATCTTGTAAAGTGCCGTATGCCCAGATCAACTCACGGACAACTTCATCATCGCCATCTTCATTATGATCGGGGTGCCATATTTGTAACTCTCTAAGGAACGCCCTTGTAATTTCTTTATCCTGTTCGTCTTTAGACATCGCTCGAACTTCATCCTCGTCAAGCCTCAAAATGCCGTAAAGATTGCGTTGCCCGTCAGTAAATTCTAGCTCTTTATCTCTGTTCCATTTTCGGAGGCCCTCTTTCTCTTCTTCTGGGTAAAAAGAAAGGTAATCCTCGATTACGTCTAGAGATTCTGTGATCTTTACATATCTTTTCCCAACCCACTGCTGTGGTTTTAAAAGAACTTTTTTCGGTTTCTTTCTTCCTTGGAACAGCGCAACTAATTCGAGCTTGTGCTGCCATTCGGTGGTATAAAAGAACTTCTCATTTGGCTTGAATACCCTTGATGTGTGTGGCATGTAACACACAAGATCTCCACGGAAATAGAGCTTGAGTTTGAGATAAGCCTCGCTTGACTCGTTAACGACTAGCAATGATCGTTGTTTCCCTTTCATACCTGTTCAATATATGCGTGTGCTAGCAGTTAATGAATGCACAAATGTTTGCTGACAATGCGACGCCAAACTCCATCTTAGTTGATTGCACAGAGCAATGCGAATAACGAAAATGAAACCTCCTCTAATGCATTGTTAAATTTCGGGGAATTTGAGACCGCTACTGGCTCACTCTTGATGCCAGTAGTTCACTTGTGGTTTAACCCGAATTATTTCCGGGAAATTTCCCTACATTATGAAGATCAAGTGGCTAAATTTAAGTAACTGTGTCAAAGATGGATTCAATAATATTTTTTTTTCTGACATTCTTTTTTACACGCCCCATGTTCTTCAGTGTGTCGATACTTTAAAACAAACAGTCCTGGGCTTGTCCAGTATCGAAGTACCAGTGGCTAAAATCTTTCAAGAAGCCGCCCTAAATCACTTTCATTTGTGTTATTTCCGGGACCGGGAGGAGAAAAGACCTGGGGAAAAGGGAAGCTCTAAATTTGCTTGATACATGATCAGGGGGCTTAATGAAGCTTGAAAACATGCAGCCCCGCGAAAAGGGGGCATGCAGATCAATCAATGGTCAAACATATGAACTAAACCAGGGGTCGATTACTAAGAGCTTTCATCTCCCATATAGGCCCTTGGAGTTCACCCTTTGCTGTGAAAATGTATTTATGGAAATAGCTTTCGCGGAATATTTTTCACGCCTTCTTAGTGAAAATCAGAGCAGAGCTATGATCATACGTCAGACATTGAGTCACAGACGCGGGATTTGAAATTGCTGCCAACAATGAAGGTACCCAGAGTGGAAGATTTATCGGATGATAGTTCTGATTTTCAATCGGGTTAAAAAAAATCTGCTTAAAACCTATTGGCAAAAAGAAGAAGACGATACACTCATGCGACGTCTTCAAGTTTGATTGTAATCTTGACAGTTAGCTACATACTACAAGTTCCATCACGAACAACCCAGTCCCGGCCCTCGAAAGCGAGTAAATAAATATTGAAATTCAAGCTCTTGTACGTAAGCCCCATTTACACGACATTCATTTTGGGGCCGGCACTCCTAAATTTTGGCATGCAGGCCATAAATCTAGGGCACGGCCTGCGTCATTTACACGACAAAAATAAGTTCGATTTGTTTTAATGTTGCTTTCGGGCAGGCATCCCTGAACTAGAAAAGTCACTCTTAAAATATTGAGCCATCGCGCAATTTTTTACAGCGGTTCCCGAGGCCTTGACATAAAATTACCTCCAAAAGTCACTCGCACTTAGCGTTCAGTAAAGGATTAGCATAATGTTTCGCGGGTTGTACAAAACATTGAAGTCGAAGAAGTAAAAAAATGGCGGATACGCGAGTACAAAAAGCAGTTTTATGGGTTTTAAGCTCAGGAAAAAGAAAACGAAACGAAGGAAACGTAACAACGTCATCATCTAAACAATTTGAAGTTACTGGATTTGGGTAGTAGTGGAATACATGTGGCTTGAACGGCTCACACCAACATTAATTTTTTCGAAAGGATTATAAAAATCACCCCAGCCAGAGGTGAGTCGCCTAACTTTGAAATACAGAGCCTAGTTCCTCCGCATTATACTGCAAAACAGTCGTTTTTTTCTTCTCAAAATCAGTAAAGAAATCGGTAAAGCGTGCCGTAAGAGTCTTACGCGCGCGAAGCGCGCGAGCCTCACACGCCTCTTAGGGCGTGTGAGGCGAGCGAAAAAAAACCGACTGTCCGTTTTCCATACAATGAGTTCGTTCCGACCAGGGGGTTCAGAAATGTCGTCGAGCTGTCAAAAATCTGTTTACAACTCCACCCTCTCTGTGAATTTGATACACTCTTTAATTGATCTCGAGGGAGAATAGCGCGTGTTATTTTCTGCACTTGGCTTCGAACCTTGACGCTGTATCCAGTAACTAAAGCAGTTTTTAGCATAGCCTCCCACGCAAACGTTCTTAGGAGTTCGTCACGCGTTCCTACCCGTGGGAGAGGAATGATTGCGTGACGAATCCGTAAGAACGTCTGCGTGGGAGGCTATTTTTAGCGTTACTTCTATGTGAAATGTAGTATATAAAGTGGAGGATCAAAAACGAGTGAAAGTGGCAGTACGCCAGCAAAGCCTGTTCCTGCTCCTCGAAGGAGGAGAAAGCTGATTAAAGAGCCGAGCGCTTGGGATAAATTGTAGAATTTCAAAACACAGTTCGGCAATTTTATGAGTGGATGGATTAGCTCGGAAAATGTGTTTGTTGCGCCTACCAGAAAAGGAGAAACCTTACCAAAGTTGGCCGACCTACTGAAAAACGAACTTTTCGTTGTCCTCGAGGAAGGAGAATCTTCCTCCACAAGAGTTTTGCTCTCCGTGCTGAACAAAGGTTAGAAACTGCGCTGCGACGTTTTCCCAAATTAGAGAAAAACTGAACACGCCAACTGACAATATGAACAATTACTGCGATTGAAAAGAATGAGTAAATCTCCTTATTCCAATCCACTTCTTCGTGATTTGGCTCTGTAAATCACTATCCGTGAGAATTTTTAAAACATCCCAGCTAGACCTTAAACACCTTAGGCTAAGAGATTTCACTTGACTAATTATTGATGTGAGGAGATTGATTTGAAAATTGAGATTTTTTACTTACTGGAGGATCATTATTATATTTGTCCAGGTAGGGGTGGAGTGCAAATGATTAACAATGTAATCGTTATAAGCCTCTCCTCAGGTAATATTTTGAAGGTGGTGAAGGCTTTCTAAACCATTATATCCTTATTGAAGGAATTGTTGAGATTGCATGCATCATGAAAATTGCCTGATAACTGTTTCGCATTTTTCCTGGAAACAAGGTGATTCACCTTGTTTCCCGGAAAAATTCAAAACAGTAATTAGCTAGGCGATTGTTATTATGCATGCAATCTCAAACCTTCCTTCAGTATGGATATAATGGTTTAGAAAGCCTTCACCACAATGTATTAATAAGTGGTTTACGTTTTTGTACTTAGTTAAAAAAATCCAGTAACATTAAAAATATGTTAATTATTGATTTTAAATTTATTACAGAGTTACAGTTGCCTTTACTGCTTTAATATCGCGAACCCATGTAATTCACAAAACTGGTGGAGCGGTATTGGATATAATGAAAACCTTCAACAAGGTTCTCCTTGGATACCACTACTTCCTTGAGTTTATATTAAGTTACCTGAAAAGGCAAAGAACATATCTGCCGCGATAGCGATAAATGTGCTAAGAGAGCTGACAACTTTATCAAAATGAATCAGTGTTCACGTCGAAATAGGGAACCGCTGGACTCCTTTACTAGGGGGAAAAGTTCAAATTCAATTGGAATGGTGTTTGTGAAGGTGAAAACTATGTGCAACGTGCTCGCTACTTGAAGTTTTAAAGTTCCGTTGGGCATACCCCGCACCTACCCACACCCATATAGTTTCTCCACTCAATTCTCTCGGTGGCTCACCATGTCGTTAAATTTCGCTATCAGTAAAAATGATTGAAATCATGAAAACTGAAATCCTATTTTCTGAATATATACTTATATTTTTCGGGAAACAAACCAATTTTCTATTTGACCTTTAACAGCTGTTTCTATTCAGTGGTTCAGCTTATACAGATATTAGTGCACTTCGTAAATCAAACGTTAATTATATCTGATATATAAGTATACATGTATAAGTAAACTATATGTGTTCACAGTTGCTGTTGCAATTCCTAAGTACACATGATAAAAAGTAACTGCAATCATCTTCAGTTAATTTAACTATCATCAATTATACTAAAACGTTATAATGGATGTGATTTCCTTTTCTTTTTTCTCGGTATGTCGGTATGCTAAGAACTTAGTGAAACCTCTATTAAACGGACACCCTCGGGACCCTCCCAAGTGTCCGCTTAACAGAGGGTGTTCACTTAATAGAGGATGTAAAAATTACGCAATGTTTGTTAAAGATTAACACTCAACGGTTACTCTGTACTGTGATAAAGTTCCATATGTTATTGAGGAAACTAAGGAAGCTAAGGAAGCTGCGCTGTACTTTGCGCAAGACTTTTAGGCGAACTTTGATCGCGGATGACAATTATACTGCCGAATATCAGTCTAACCTACAGTTTACTAACAGCTAAATAGGTATTTCAAGGAAGTAATCCAATACTACTATTGTCAAATCAGTCCGGTGTCCGCTTAATAGAGGTTTTCAACAAAAGAAATTTAGACAAATACGATTTGTGTTTAGTGTCCGTTCCGCTTAATAGAGGTGTCCGCTGAATAGGGGTTCGATATAAAGGGAAATATAAGACGTTAATTTCGGGACCCGACTTAGTTTCCGCTTAATACAGGGTGTCCGCTTAACTGCGGGTCCGCTTAGTAGAAGTTCCATTGTAGAAGGCTTGAAGATAATTGCGTTTTGCAAAGATGGCTGTTCGATCCGTTTTTAGTACTTTCTACGAGCTGAGTTTAAATGAGGAAATTGAAGGCCGTCTCTTTAATTTGTTTGTATTTGTCCAAGTATAGCGCACTAGCTTTGTACTACCTCCATTGTGAGTATCATCCACTACACTGGTAATCTAAGTTGGATTATAGCATGCGGTCTCGCTCTACCAAGAAGATAATAGTACATCGAAATTAAGTTTAGTTTTTCTTGTTTCTTGTGGTGTACCAAGCACACCGGAGATAACCTTCAATGAAATTCTTTACATGTCTTTTTCGTTGTGATGTTCGTCTGTTACTTTCATCACCGCTTCCTACTACAGAGTACCTTCGATGGTAAACGTGCGAGTCACTGGTGTTGGGTAGTGGAATACATGTGGCTCGTCCGGCTCACACCAGCATCTTTTCAAACGATCATATTTAAAAACGTCACCCCAGCCGGAGGTGGGTCGCCATATTTTGAAACGCACTTTCATTTCCCTCGCATTGTATGGGATTTTTACTTGCTTTCCATTCCCTCTCACTTTCTTTGTAAGCTCTTCGTTGGTTAGCAGGTAACTCATAATCATCTTGGATAATCCCGAATACCACCAACCATTACATAAGTACATGACAATAGCACCATTGTTTGACTGTTCGTCAGTCAAATGCACCTCAGCGTCGTCCTGGGTGCATTCTGAACCATCTACGTTGCCTTCTTCAAAGCTTAGATCTTCCAAATTGTCATGCTGTAAGGACTTCTCTGCAAGCGCTTTAAGCTCAAACGCTGTCTCCAGAACCACGTCATCAGGTAGGGAGAAAATCTCCGCCTCTGGAAGGTCCGCTTCAGTATCATCTGAGTGCTTCTCAGCCGTGAGTAACTGCCCAGCTTTTTCAGTAATGACTTTCGTGACGTTTTTGGTTAAAGGGACTGGAATTCGCTTCAAAAGGCTTGACTTTGCTTGATCGGTTAGACCCTGCTCGCCATCTCTTCCGCTGCAATCTCAAGATTTGAATTTGTTTCAGCAGCAATATCAAGGCGCATATCCTTAGGAATAGCGTGTTCTGTAAGTATTGCAGCAACGGCTGCCGTGCAATGACAAGCAGCATGACAGAATGCCTGTTTAGCAGTGATCTTGCCAACGTCCATGAAACTCTTCGCATCTATGCGCAGAGATTTCACAGTTGCACATCCAGTGGCAATGGCAATTCTTATTCCTAAGAACTCGCTTGCTGAAAGTGCTGCAGACTGCACAAGGGATGCTCCTATGGCCGCTCCACCCGGAAGAAAGGCAAGGAGATATCCAGCACCTGTTGAAATGAGATGCTTTTGAACATCACGTCCATCCAGGACTGCCTCCTTGCTAATAGACTCGCGTAAAGAATCGAAACCACCTTTGACAGCACATTGTGACCAAGGAGATGATAGACCCGCGGTTAAAACAATTGTTACGACTACTCCGATTGTAAGACCAGCCGATAAAGCAAGGAGACCCATTCTCTTCATCCATGCCAGCCTTTGAGCAACGGTCTCGCACTCAGACCAAAACACAGCTTTGAATCGTTTGCCCGACAGCCACCCTTTGTCGTAGTCCGCCAAGTTGTTGTACCGTGCACGTTTTTCTCGATCTTTTAAAATGCTGTACGCCATTATCAACTCACGGACCATGGCAACATCACCATCTTCATTATGATCAGGATGCCAAATCTGCAACTCGCTGAGGAACGCCCTCGCAATTTCTTTATCCTGATTATTCTGTGACATTTTACGAACTTCGTCCATATCTAGCCTCAAAATGTGGTAAAAATTGCGCCGCCCATCAGACGTCAATCCTAGCTCTTTATCCCTGTTTATTTTTCGGAGACCCTCTTTCTCTTCTTCTGCATAATTAGAAAGGTCATCCTCGATTACGTCGAGAGATTCCGTGATCCTTACATATTTTTTCCGAACCCACTGATGTGGTTTTAAAAGAACCTTTTTCGGTTGCTTTGGATCTTTTAACACTGCGGCTAACTCGAGCTTGCACCCCCATTCGCTGGTGTAAAACAGCTTACCATTTGGCTTGATTTCCTTTGATGTGTGCGGCATGAAGCAGAGTTTGAGATGAGCCCCGCTGGACTTATTTATGATAAGCAATGATCTGTTTCTTCCTTCCATCCCTAATCATAAGAACCTGCGCAAAGCGGCAGCTGTTAATTTAACCTGATGAAAACGTGCGGACAACAGTTAAAAGTACAGTAATACTTAAAATACTTCGTGAAGTCTCTTGTCAGTCTTTGGTCAGTTTTAAGTTCTTTGTAACATGAGTAAGTGAGTGAAAACAGATAACATAATGAATTTCCTGTTTATCAAGGGGAACACTATGTGATTGGTTTACGTTTTAAGTTGTGTGCGCTGTTTCCATACAACTCGAGCTATAAAAAAGGTGCAGTTCAGATTAATAACATGTCCTGTCGGGTCATTGCTCTATCAAGTTACGCTGGAACGAAAGCACTCAACCAGACCATTTTCAAGGAACTTGGAACCTGCAAAAAGACTTGAATTGAAGTAGCCCGCGTAGCAGGTTCCGGATTTTTAGGGCCAATTCAGAAATTTCGAGAACACGCACGCCAAAAACCTAAATGAAGCCTGCTACGCAAACTAGACTTGAGGTACTGTATCTCTCTCAGTTGACATATTATTCTGTCTAGTCTTTATGCTAGACAGTTGCCGGATAAGGCACTCCACACTGGGGTCTTACAAAAAAGCTGTAATACTTGCGTCACGCTAAGTTTACATTTAAAATCGCACACAAAGCACTGAAATCGGCTCTCATGTATCTAGTAAACTAAATATCAATTGCGGCGTACACCAAGGTTCTGTCCTAGGTCCACTTCTCTTCTTGCTTTATATAAATGACATCCAATATTGCTCGAGCAAACTCCAATTTTTCCTTTTTGCTGTTGACACTCATGCTCTTTATGCTCATAAAGATTTAAAGACACTGGAACTAACAGTAAATGCAGAATTACACAACTTGTATAACTGGCCGACTTCAAACAAACTTTCCCTGAATATTAAAAAGTCAAACTATGTAATTTTTCGTCCATACCAAAAAAAACTCAACTATGATCTCCAGGTCAATATTTTTGACAATGAAAGCAATAAAAAGGTTACCTTTGAACGCAAAAACTTTATTAAATATCTTGGACTGTTAATTGATGAAAATCTATCTTGGAAGACCCATATTCACTCGGTTGCAAATAAAATAAGTAAAACAATTGGGCTAATTGCGAGATTAAGACATATTGTTCCCACTTGCACCCTCTTAAATATTTATCAGTCACTAATTACACCCTATCTAACTTATGGTCTTATCTCTTGGGGCAACGCGTGTAAAACTTTCCTTGACCAAATTCTTGTCCTTCAAAAACGCGCACTGCGTTTAATATATTTTGCTGAAACAAACGACCACGCAATACCTTTTTTTGTCAATGCAAAAATTCTACCTTTACAGTCTCTATATTATGAATCCGTTTGTAGTCTTATGTATGATGTAAATAAAAACACTGCTCCGGTTAATATTTCGAAACTCTTCTCTCGAATTTCTAGTGTTCATACTTACAACACACGTGCCTCAACCTCTGAACATTTTTATACTAAAGAATCTCGACTCAATGTCAAACGAAATGCTTTTTCGCGTGTTGGGGTCAAAATTTGGAATGGGATACCTCAAATTCTTAAAGAAAGACCGAAAAAAGCTTTTAAAAGATCACTAAAAGAAATGCTACTCGATTTCCTTGAAACTGAAGACTCCTATATTGATGTGGATACAATCATCGTGAAAACGAAAAAGTAATTCTCTTGTCCTTTATTTTCATTTTATTTTATTTTTAAAATTTCACTTAAATTATTGTCCTTGCATTTAGGTAGAACGTATCTATTTAATGTAAAATGTATATACTTATATAACGCCTAATTTCTTTGTATTTGTCTAGGTTGTTGTAAATTATGTAACCTGGCCTTCCTCGAATAGCCTCGCTAACTGCACTGGGCCAGTCCCAATGTATCTTTTGCTATATTTTCAAATTTAAATAAAGTTGAAGTTGAAGTTGATTTTCTTCCTTTTCTTTTAACGCTGTCCTTTTCCTCGTGTCTTATAAATAAACCTTTTTCCCTTCAGGCATCTTTTAATTGGTGTCTATGTTAACACCTTTTCACATTTTCTGATTCTTGAAAAAGCCAACAGCTCTGTAGAAATTTCTTTGAGTTTTTCATTTCCCAGACATTTGAAGACTACGGCCGTGATGAAGAGCCGGTACCAGGGCGGGAGGATAACAGATCGAACAGAAGGCGGAACATGGAAAGGGTGGAAAGGGAAGGAAGGTGGGGGAAGAGGAAGAGAACCTGAAGTCCAAATCTTGGTGCATTTTTCCACGTTAATCCTTTCGATCATCTCTGACAAGACCACTATCACTGGTTGAGCACATTGGAATGGGACTTGCTTTTGGAGTAGCATGTGAACCGTTGGAAGGAGTGTGTGACGACGTACCAAAAAAAAATTCGGGAACTTCCCACCCTATCCCCCAGACTGCAAAACCGTCCGTATTTTTGCGTATTCAATCAAACAAAAGGTCTGGAACGAGGCTGAAAACAGAGAGCGAGACTGGAGTGGCGACGAGAATCGAAAACAACACCTGTCACAGGAATAAACGGTTTGGAATAGTCAAGAGTCAATATTTCAAGCAGCCATCTTGCGCTTTGCATGCTGCTTTCTTGGAAATAGCCTGGTACTGGTAGTTGTGGACAAATTAATGGTACAGAAATTTCCTGGTCAATTCGGTAAAAGCAAGAAAATAGTCATTACCACGGAGGGTAAGTCTTTCATCGGGATAAACCTTTCCATCTGAATTCTTCCCAGAATTCCAGGCTTTTCCATTAAAACGGGTAAGCGCTCCAGGACTACCTATGTTTTGGGGGAAAACGTGGAACGAACCGAAACGTCGTGTTCCATTAACTCTCCATTTCACAGTGACGTCATCACTGTAAGGTCAAAACAGCGGGGTTTTACGATTTCTTATTTACACTAGGTTGAAGATAAACAGAAAGTAAATCTTTATACAAGTTTCCATTCCCGTAGCATGTTTCATTTCGAAAATACAGCAATTTGAACTTCCGAGTTTTCACAGTGCGTGACACCAAAATAGGAATGCTGTCTCTTTGAAAAAAGTCTCTCCTCTTGATTTTAAGCAGTATAACCATTTCAAATATTAGAAGATATGTTTATGCGCACGTATGCTAGTTCTCGAGTGAAAAGAAAGAGCTTTAAATTTGTAGAAAAAGTGAAGTCCAGATGATTTTGTTGATTTCCGACGGCCATATTGGTGCACCAAAACGGTACACCAATATGGCGTCCCATGCATACAAAGCTCTTCAAACGTGCGTGAAACGTTTCGGCAAATAACTCAGAAAGTGTGGGCCACAAAAACATGGAAAAATTGTTTATGTATTACTCTTTTATATCATTTCGCTTTATTGGTTTCCAATTTATTTTTTTGTCGCGTGACAGTGAAAATGATGTATATAAGTGCAGAAAAAACCACTTCGAGTAGAAGCTTGAACTAGAAATGTAATAAAACTTAAAGCATAACGCATAGTGATTTCCATCAAAGATTTATCTGCTACTTAAACGTTCAAGATCATTTATTTTACGTTATCCCTAACTTGCACTGCCTTTTTAGATTAGGGTTAAGCATTGTTTCGAAACTAGTTACGTTCTGTTTTGTGGTTGGAGTTGATGCTATATGTAATTAAATAATTTCATCTACATCCAGCTAAAATCCTCAGTGGTCTAGTGGTTAGCATGGTATATTGGACCACCTGGGTTGTGTGTTCGAATCCTACTGTCTTTCATATTAATATTTTTTTTCTTTCAAATTGAAGAGACTTGCACTTTCATGAACATCTCCAGCTTGAAATATCATCTAAGTGTGATGTAAATTTCATAACGGGAGAAAGGAGCTACGGCCGATGGGATCTAATGCTGACCCAATAAATTGGGACTGATTTTTATGCTAATTTCATCTTTGTCGTTATCCAAAACCCATTTGTGCTTTTCGACCCGGCGGCTTTTTATACAGGCCACAGTTGCATTTTTTTTGCGAGTTTAAAACGAGACGATAGCGGAAAAACGGCCTTCTCGGGGATTCTCGGGGATTTTACAAGGGCAGTAGCGAGTTCCCAGCGATTTCCCGTAAACGCATTTGCGAAAGAAAACCTGAACTTATTGGTACATTCGAAGCAGAGCGCATCGTTGCAAAGAGGTTTGTTAAAGGGAAGCCTCAGTACATGTCAATCAAACAAAAATTTCATTTAACTTCGAATTTGTTGATAGCAAAATTGTTCAATAAATATCTCCGAAGAAAATAAATCTATCAATTAATTAATAGGTGAAATAAATAAGTGAAATAAATAAATAGATACATAAAAATTAAATAACATAAAAATTAAATATTATAGATAAAAATATACAAGTATGCACAGGTAATTTCAGAATTTAACATTGGTCACAAAAAGAACAGCATTCATTATCCAGTTGAACAGTTTTTAATGCAACTTTGAAGGCAGCAAGAGAAGTAGACACACGGACATTATCCGACAATAATAAGTTCCATAGTTTGCTGGCATGATAGCGAAATGAATCAAGACCATAATTTGAAAACGGGTTAAAAATGGTATAATGGTTTAACTACTGTGCGAGCGAAAACACTCGGAAACAGAAAGATCATCGCCGCTAGACTTGGTTGAGGGCTTCGAGAACGCGTAGAAGAGGATCGGTCTCGAATTTGAGAGAGGGAACAACTGAAGGTCCCTCTTCCATACGAAGAGTCGATTTAAATCAGACACGACGTGGTGAGGTTCCTGTTTCTAAGGCTACCATGCGATATCAGAGCAACGCCAGTTAGTATAGATATGATCAAGACCTTCACGGCGCTGGCCTTTCCACCTATGTGGAACGCACGATCAACGCCGACGGCAGCCGATGCCGTGTAGTCCAGTTGACTTTCCGTCGATCTATTACTGTCGAATTCACCTGCGTTTTACCAAGAGGGGAAGAAAGTATCCCGTCCGATGGAGTGTCTACGCATTGTATTTCTAAAGAGCCTCCATGCTCTTTCTCAGTAAATACATCTTAGTCCCTGGAGAGACATAAACGGTTTCTTTAGAAGCCATTAAGCCCAATAAAGTCAATACCATAATTCAGTTCTATGCTCTTCAGTAATGCGCTCCTCTTATAAAACTTAAGCTTTAACTAAAAAAGTAAGAAACACTACTAAACGGAATTCGCACAGACATCAGCGAATAGAAAATGTTTTGCCAGCGTTCGCAACCAAAAGGCATGTGCACTAACACGTGAGATAGCAAAAGATGATGGTTTTGAAAAATTTACTTGTTGGTTACGTTATATTCGAGATTGATAAAGGCTACTGTAGAGTAGGTAAGAAAGTATGTCTTACTTCATGGCTGTAGTCAATTTGCATTTTCGGAAGTTTATCTTTCAATCTTTACACTTATGTCCAGCTGGACATATCTCAATCTTTAAGGAATTTGTTGGGGCTTCAGAATTCTCTCTTCTATTCATCGCTTTTTCGAAACAGAATGTAAGCTAGCTACAGGTTTTCTTCTGGAAATCATGGAAAGGCTTTTTCGTATATGACAGTCATTCAAAAATTTTTATCCCTCTAACCTTAGAAAGTTCAGGTATTGTGCCGAAAACAGTCGTTGGGATCTCCATGAATTCTTTTGAGCGCGTTTAAAGGCACACATCTTACATTGGGGGCAATGGAAACACCCTGAAAAGCACTGAGGAGTGCCATAAGCTGAAGTTTAACATAAAAGCTTGGTTGTCCCTATGGTTATTTGCTCCTCACTCAAACCTGGTTCGATTTTTGTGTCAAATCAAAATAAATTTTGAAGTTTGGTGGTTACTTATTCTTGCCTTCCATTAGTTGCCATAAATATCCAAGTCCCCTAAACCTTTCAAAGGTGTTGGTGTATTAATTTTATACGTTTCCTGGATTGAGCCTGGATACTCCGAATCATGTTTACCTTTCCCGTTATGCATTATCCAAATCCCACATTGACAGTAAAAGTGTTAACAGAAATTCAGTGTACTGAATCTTTAATTTGCTACCTGCATCTCATACTTACAACCACAAACAAAGACTAAAATAACTTCCAAAACTTAGATCTTCTATGTTTTATTCTATAGTTTATAACACTGTCAATCCCCTTTTGAGCCTTTCTTGCAAATATGCACTAATTTAACTGCACATACAGTCAAACCCGCTTCATGGGCAATCCTCTTAATATGGACATCTCTACTAGCAGTTCGCTTTATCCCTGAGGAAAGGAAGTCTGTACATTTTTGTGAAATCAAAACCAATTTTTCCCTGGGTGTATAGGAACATCAAGTTAATGGGAATACTTTCTATGCCCCCTCAGTGTCCGTTTCAATGGCCAGGGGTTTGACTGTACAACTTAGGTGCTGTATGCTTTTCTTACGTCAGCTATTGAAATGAAGGCTTCACAAATTATTCTAACCTATTGATAATAGTAATAACATTTTATGTTACATCTCTTACATCTAAATACACACTAGATTAACTGCACATACTGGTAACTTTCATCCTCGATGCTTTTCTTAAGTCAATCCTTGAAAACTTTAAAAATAATTCTAATGATTTCATTTCTAGTAACAGAATATACTAATTACATCTCTTACTGTTACATGTAACTGGTAACTTAAATGCTCAATGCTTTTTTTTAACGCAACCTTTGAAGTCTTAAAACATAATTCTTAGAGTTATTGTTATTCTGATTTCATTTCTATTAACAGAATATACCTCTTGAATTTTTATCCCGATATTCGTTGCTACGTACCCTGCGAGCAGTGGTTTCTCGTAGCCTAGAGAAACCACTGTTCGCAGGGTAGTTACTGCGTTACTCCGTTTACACTCCACAGACGATCCACTAACGTAAAGTGCTGTGTCAGCGGCGTGCACGTTTACTGAGCACTGATTAAAACGTACAGCAAATTCAAACAAAATAAGGTCTCATCAATTTCATTTAGCAGCATCCGCAATACATGAGCTATCATGTCATCCCCATCCTGATCGCGATTAGAGGTAGGAGCTTATTTAATTCTGGTGCCCACGAACGGGGGCTTTTAAGAGGCTTGGGTTTCAATCTTAAGAGGTATTACAAAGGAAAACGGTAGGCCAATGCTTTCTTTATTACATCCACTTCTCAAAAAAGGAAGCTTTGCTTACCTACGTTAGGTACCTCTCTTCAAAAAGCCCCTCGATAAATTTACGTACTTTGGAAGCTAACTCACAACACTTTGGTCGTGAAACAAACTCAAATAGATTGATGTCTTTTATGAAGTAATGGGGGCAGTTTTCGTCCTCCAAGCAGCCTTCCAGCCTTCTCAGAAAGCCAATCAGTCTCCTACTCAGCTGGTCAGAGCTCCATTGGTTTGGATTGGGGTGGGCCTCACACTCATATAACATGATGGTTTTTAGATGATATGATGTCAATTGATCCCAATTCCTATCTTTCTTCAGCGTCTTCATTATTCGCAAAACTTGTTTGCGGCAAGAACTTGCTTCGCCATGACCCCCATGAATAAACAGCTCCTTTTCAGCGGCTGAAAAGGACAAACGCCAGAAAAGCCCCTTTTCTGACTCAGGAATATTTAATCCTTTTGGTTGCTTTGTAACCAGGTGACAACCATCTTGACAAATTTCTCGAACAAGGTCCTGATTGGGCCAACCTTTATAACATGTAGATATAAAAGAAATGAAATTTTACTGTCTTCTTAAGTTATCAGACAAAGGGAGGCTCTGCAAAAGAGGTTCCTTGCCCCTTTATTGTCTATAAGATATATTTACTAAGTTCATAATAGGATGTACATCGCGAAGAGATTTCTCGCATACCTTATTACAGTAAAAACCCGCAACTAAGAACCTAGTTTGTAAGAACATGTTAGGCTGAAATTTGCCATTTACACCACCTCTACACAATTCGCAAAATTATGTATAAATATGAAAAATTTTAGCGGAACTGTCATTTGATATTCAGCGGATCGTTTGCTTGCGTGGAGTTAAAAAATTTAGACAATCTTTACCGTAAATAACGAAAAAATTGTCTTCGAAACAGTGACTTGTTAAATTGAAGTACGAATGACGAATCAATGCGGAGAGTCGGTAGGTTCTCATTTAGAGCCGCTTTGTGGTTTCGGTTGTGATTTCGTTTATGCGAAGCATCGGTGATCCATTTTTGTAATTCGAACTTCCTGCCCTGATTTCCACCGTCAAGTGTAATGATTCTGTCAGCTTTTTCTTCTTGTTTTCTTGCTTCTTTTTTCTTCGTTAAGGACCAAATAGCTTTTTTTTAATTAAAACAAATTGCTGTGGCTTTGAAGTGTCACGTGTACGTGTATTTATTTCATTGCGTGGCCCAGATCGAGTTTAATTATTAAATTATGGCGCTATACTTGCAACAGATACGTTCAGTTTGAACATGAAACATGAATAACTATTTAATAGTAAAGCAATTCTGTAACATGTAGACATTTTCAGACGATATTTTTTTGTTTGCCAGTCGCAAATCGTGTTTTACTTTTTGCATGAACTAAAGCAAAGGAGTAGTGACATTACTGGACGGCATTAGCGGCTCGCTGATTCAGACGTCTCTGAGGAAGTTTCCGAGTCGAAGATATGTCTGAACTTCAGGCTATCCCACGACGAATTCTACGAAACGTTCAGGGACGAGTTGTTCAAAGTTGGGATAACATAACCCAGGGTTAGTGCGAGATTTGAATTCAGATTTGAAAGCTTAAAAAGCATTTCAGTTTTAATTCTTTTTGTCTACAAGTTGATGATTGAAAGCTCTAAAATTAACAGAGAGAATTATCTCAGAAAATGCTTTTGAATACAAGAAAATGAAACCCGGGTTAAATTTAACCCCGGGTTAAGAGATAATCGGCCTTCGAACAACTCGGCCCAGGACGGAAGCCCGCTAAACATGCTTAAACTAACGCAAGGTGCACTCGACTGGAAAACCGGACAGAATACTAGTGAACATGGAGACGATTACGTAGAAGAAAACAAACTGCGAGTTAAAAAGCTGAATTCTGGTGGTTTAGGCTATACTCACACTATACCGGATAACTTTTGTGCCGGCACGAAACCAAGCCTGATTGGGCTTCTGTTCTCACACAACAAGGGTGATTTCGGTGCGATTTCTGTAACGGAGCGAAGCAAGCATATCGGATAGGTGTTCATACTATACCGGATACTTTTTCGTGCGGACACGAAAAACCATCCGCTATAGTTTGAACATAGCCTTAGAATCACGTTTTCGGCAATGTCAAACGTCAATTTGTATCAAGTGACCAAGCTTTGGTTTCACGGCTTTTTCCCCATAAGAATTATTTTGGACATTTTTTGTTTGTTCATTACCTAATTTGAGGATTGTCAACCTGTAGTTGACGTTTGCCGTAAACGTGACTCCAAATTTCTATACTATAGCCTCCTAGCTACGAAGATATTTCACTCGTCACGCAATCCTGAGGGAGGATTGCATGACAAGCCTGAAGAACGTTCAACCCTACATGAACGTTTGGGCTGTTTGTGTTTTTCTCTTATCAAACTGTTTAGATGCCATTGTCGATAGGAGCAATGATCTGTATAATGAAATGTTCTTCTATTTTTTCATTTTAAAACACCTTTTGTTCTTTTTAAGTGTCACTAGATAAATGTAAGCCCTTGCTAAAAATTCTGTTACTTGCATAGCACCTCTTGGCCAAAATCGTGTTTGCCCTCACATTCTCATTCGTTTTATTTTTAATGTTTTTTCCTGTTTGGCATGTAATCCACCCAAGTGAACGCGTTAAATAATTAATAATTTCCGCGACCTAAACTCCTGTTATCAGTATCATGGAAACAGCAAAATACTTGAAGTGGGGAGATTGCGTCTCTAAGTCTTGATCCCTAGAAATCTTTGATCTCGTTTCGAAAGAAGACATTTCTTTGTGTATAGTTTACCTCATGGCTTAGTAATGTTTTAACGCTTCTACAATCAAGGTAAAAAATGTTCCTTTTGTCTAACAAGCTGTTTCTTTGTGTTAATCACGTGATTTTCCCTTATTTAAGACTTTTACCATCTCTTTTGCTTTAATTTCCGTTATTCTAAGGCTTTCTTCGCGAGCAGGCAAGGTGAAGCGCATCCTATGTCCTGACTGGCTACCCGAGCAGGCAAGACAGGTACGTTCAAAAGCTGTTCAAAAACACTCACAGCACGTGTATTATCAAGTAACACTGCTGTTCCTGTTTTAAACATCACTTAACACAAGCGTCAATTTGTTATAATAAGATAGTAATTGTTTGCTAACGAGAATCCTCTTTTGGCATTAGCTATACCTGATGTCAGGCATTAAGAATGGGTAGGGTGCGACGAAGCCACCCGATAAGAACCACGGAAGACCGTGGATACAAAGAAAGCAAGTTAAAAAAAACAGAAACAAATATTTTGTTACAGTTTGTTCATTATCGTCTTCGTTCTCTTTAGGTTTTCTACACTTAATGTATTGTAGAATTTTAAACATAAAAACTACCGCAAGATTGCTAGCGGCTAAATTACACCAGTGGAATTTCATCAACTGTTTCGGGATTCCTACTTTCAACTCTTACACCTATGTAGTATCAACGAGTTTAGGTCCGATTTTTGGCATTCTGGTTTCTACGCCACTGCATGCTTTTTAAAAAGGGCACCAAACCCAGTCCGTCCGAAACAACCAGTTCTCTCGGTGGACATGTCAAAAGTGGCTCGGATCTAATTGTACTACGGTTCCGTACCTTTTTTTTCTGGTGGGAGAGGTGATTCTAAGATGTGACCATTGAAATGAACCAAAGACAAATTAAACTGCAATTTATTCGTGTATGTAAATCAAACTGTAGATTTCTAATAAACTGACTTCTCAAAAGCAGCCACTTTTGCTTCACAGTTTAGTTCACCTTGTTAACGAAATGTTCAACTGAATGCCACCGGTGAAATCAATTTCGCGAAAGCGAGCCAAGCGAATTTATAATCTCGTCACGCGCGCAGTCTTAGCCAGCGGCAAAATTGGATTTCCCATCTTTTTATCAATCTTTCTATGAATAACTGTTTTTAGTAAAATCCAGCTATTGGTCTAATATCAATGCTGCGTGTTCTGACTGGTTGAGCTACTTCTAGGCTATATGTTTTAGCCCACTAGTAGCGATAAGCGCCGGCTTTTTGGCGGCAAAAAAAGGATTAAAGTCTAGCTTTAATAAGCTAAAGTTGTTTTGTCTCGATATTTTTTATCAACTAGTTGGATTTCACTAAAACAATTATTCCGCTCGCCCTCATGGCCTCTGAGTCAATAGCCCATTCGGCTTTAGGGCTCATGGGCTATTGACTCAGAGCCCATTCGACCCATTCGGGCTCGTCGCCTGCGAAAACATCCGTTTTTCCTCGTTCTTCGCCGATGGGGAAGTTTCGCGCGGAGGAACGTCTGACTCAGCGACAGAAATTCCATACTGATGAGGTAAAATCTGTTCGGAATCCGGCCAGAAGCGCTGATTGGTCGACGGTGTAGTTACATTGTTTTAGCTATTGTTTACGAATGACAGACAAAAGACAAAAGGCCACAAAGGTCAAATGTAAACGCGAAGAATCTCTAACAAAACAGTCAATATTTGTGGAATATAGTCTTCTCTTGAAGAAGCATTTGAGTTCTGCTGGAGCTCGTTGGCAGATGAACACAACACTTTACCAAAATCGACCATAAGACATGTAAAATTGGACAAATTTGTATTTGGAACCCCATGACTATTGGATTTATTATGTGAGCATTGGTTTGCGTCATCAGTATGGAATTTCTGCCGCTGAGTCGCAGATAGCCTGCGAACAGCAGACGCATTTCCGGTCGTCGCTTCTCTCCCTCCGAAAAATAGCGTCTGCGAACCCGAGCGGCAAAACGATTTCCGTGACGTAAAACCTTTTGTTTTGATGTAGGCCAATCAGATCAAAGGATAGAATACAGCTCGAGTGACTCCTCGCGACCTCGCGCGCTGAAGTGTCTTGGATTTTGGCGAGAATTACCAAATACGCTTTGGAACGTGAATTTCACGACCATAACAAGGTTTCCTGCGACGTTGAATGGTGACTTCTTTATGAAGCAACGGCTTCTTAAGCTATGTATGTGATGTGGGCCTTTGGTTTCGCTTTATAAAAGACGGTAGTACGTGACATAAACAAAACCTGGACCAAATAATCGCTACAGCGAAAGGAAAGCAACATAGCTTAATGACATCGCGCTCAGACTTATTTATTTCAATTTAACAAGCGCTGACAAAAGGTGGTGAATCAATTATACAGACACATCCTTGACTGATTCAGAAATCTCTAACAATCGCTCGTTAATAATTCTAGTATCGCCACAACACAATGATCTGAAATATTATAAACCTGGGCCAGACCCAGCGTGAAATAAATAGTTACAGCAGTAAATAGATCATGGTCAAAATGACATTTCAGCTACGACGCTTCGACTCATCTCACAAAAAACTATGGAAATGAGAACCTTGAAAAGAACATGTACTTAAAGAAATATGACGGAACAAATATAAAATGCTTTCGATCTGATCAAAGTTCTATCTGAACCAAGAAGCAACCACGCATGGAAAATCAATTACCACATGTCCTACCTTTCAAAGATAAAGGATATCTACTAAAAATATCTAAAGCGGCACACGACAAACTATCGAAGAGTTCTCCAAGGCACACTTTCCTGTCAGGAACCAGAGAGGAACAGAAGCAACAAACGGCATTTTTGCGTCTTCTATCATTAGGACATTTATCGTTTCGAATATGATCAAAACAACAAGGTGTGATAAATCAATGACTCCGTAGGCAAATAGATGAAAAATGTCCTCTAATCTTTTCTTCGATATGAATCCTCTTGATACTTATTTCGTCAATCAGTCCCACAATCCTGGCAAATGAACTTTCGTAAACGCGTCGTTCTGAGAAAAAAGGACGGCTATACACAAGCCACGTAGTCCTTTCAATTTCGACTTGAAAACATATCCACCGCGCACGATCGTGCGAGAAGTCTCGCGAATTAGTTCCTTGATTTTAAGAGCTAAACCGTGATTGGCTAAAAAGGTTTACGTCACGGAAATCGTTTTGCCGCTCGGGTTCGCAGACGCTATTTTTCGGAGGGAGAGAAGCGACGACCGGAAATGCGTCTGCTGTTCGCAGGCTAAGTCGCAGACGTTTATTCTCGCGAAACGTCCACGAGCGGCGAAGAGCGAGGAGAAACGGTTGTTTTCGCAGGCTATCGGGCTCGAGGAATAATTGTTAAATATTTTTTGATTGGTGTCTGCCAATGACTTCATGCAGCGTTACGTCATGGAGCTGTTTCCAGGGAACACATACTTTGCCGCCGATGACCAGGGCGCACTTTCATGTTATGTGGGTGTCTTTTCATCGTCTGTGAAACAATGTTTTACAATCGGTGAATCACGAGCAATTCCCCATGCAAATGACACAGAACAGCAAGCACAACAAGTGGCTGGAAATCCTCGCGGGCGAAGATTTTCCACCGAAACTCCTCTGGAGAACGCCGACCAAAATTCATCGAGAGCGGATCGAAGACCACCGAGAAGAATAAGGAACATTGCTTAGGACAGCGAAGGCAACGTTGTCAACACAGCGATCGCAAACATGTACAGAGGCAGCGACAAAATGCTACAATTACACTGCAAGCGAGACCGATGAAGAGAGGGAACACCGACTTCCGACGCTTCAAAAAGCGACGAGGAGATCATGCAACGCTCGAAGTTTAAAGACAAAATTATCTTCTTCGATGCAGCGATAGGCAGCAAGAGTTACACGATCTGTACAATGCACGTCAAGAACATCTTTCCAATGGACTCGATCAGCCTTTACACTATAAGCAACAATGGGCTTTACAGTAAGCTTTATTTTACAGTAAAAGATTAGAACACCGATAAAGCACTCTTATTTCCCCATTTTTGTTATTCTTCTTTCAAGAAACGATCTTCTCATGACAAGATTCTTGGGATAAGAATTGAACTTCTTGTAAAGAGATCAAACAGGAAAGATTTCTTCTCAAAAGAACGCATTACATTCGAATCTCTTGAGAAGAACCACTTTTTTATGAAGTCTTAAAAAAAGATTGAAAATTCTTATCTCAAGAATGAGAATTGTTGTTACCAGGTCATGTATGAGAGAGTTCTTCTGAAAGGAATTACTTTTATCTTAATCTTCTGACTGGGGAGAAGATTAACCATTTCAGAAATCACAGAAGAACAAGAATCCTTGTGATAAGAATGAGGATTCTTCTTACCAAACCGACATTTTCTGAAAGATTTTTTTTTCAAGAAAAAATGATTACATCTACATATTTTGAATCTCATTAGATGAAAAAAACAGTTCCTTTGACAAAAACCTAAATATTAATGAAACGAAGAATTTTAAAAAAATAATCTTGATCGTCATTAACTGGCGGAAATACGAGATTTATAACAGCGTTGACAGATTTTTATAGGTATCAGTTGTCAACTTTTATTCACTCATGTGTCGTGGGTCTATCCTAGCCTGTGTACAGACCCCCCCTCCATACCTTCTCCGATTTTAACTGAGGAGAGGGGGGGGGGGTCTGTACACAGGCTAGATCTGTCCCTGCTTTTTAAACTTTTTGAAAGGTAAAGCACATTTCAATTCGGCTTTTGATTATTTACTAACAAAAAACAGTCCAGGAAGAATTAAAGTTAATATTAGGTTGATGTGAAACATGTCTCTGAACGACGAGAGGACGGGTCATCGTGATCGCGCCGATCGCGCCCTGGGCACGAATACAGGTAGGTACTTTAAGTAGGGTTATTAAAGTGTATCACGAATGCATTTAAAATGGTGTATTAACATGTTTTGTAAACCACTTTTATGTATAACCATGTACTACCATGTATAACCATGTATTGCCATGTATTACAATGTATTGCCAAGTATAACCATGTACTGCCATGTATTACCATGTACTGCCATGTATCGCAATATATTACCATGTATTACTATGTATAACAATGTATTGCCATGTATCACCCTGTATTGCCGTGTATAGCCATGTACTGCCATGTATACCCATGTTTTGCGATGTATTACTATGTATTACCATGTATTGCCGTGTATACCCATGTGTTGCCATGTATTATTATCTCTTACCATGTATTGACATGTATCGCCATATATTACCATGTATTACCATGCATTGCNCGTGTCGCGTGTCTGTTTAGTTTTGTTTTTTTTTTTTTCAAGCGAAAAGCGGCAACGGGGTCGGGGGGGTTCTGGGGTTCCAGCCGGGTCCCTTTCCGTCTCTTGCCCTTTGTAAAGCCCCCCCCCCCCACCCTTCCCCCTTTTTAACGGGGGGGGGGGGGGGGGGGGGGGTCTGTACACAGGCTAGATCTGTCCCTGCTTTTTAAACTTTTTGAAAGGTAAAGCACATTTCAATTCGGCTTTTGATTATTTACTAACAAAAAACAGTCCAGGAAGAATTAAAGTTAATATTAGGTTGATGTGAAACATGTCTCTGAACGACGAGAGGACGGGTCATCGTGATCGCGCCGATCGCGCCCTGGGCACGAATACAGGTAGGTACTTTAAGTAGGGTTATTAAAGTGTATCACGAATGCATTTAAAATGGTGTATTAACATGTTTTGTAAACCACTTTTATGTATAACCATGTACTACCATGTATAACCATGTATTGCCATGTATTACAATGTATTGCCAAGTATAACCATGTACTGCCATGTATTACCATGTACTGCCATGTATCGCAATATATTACCATGTATTACTATGTATAACAATGTATTGCCATGTATCACCCTGTATTGCCGTGTATAGCCATGTACTGCCATGTATACCCATGTTTTGCGATGTATTACTATGTATTACCATGTATTGCCGTGTATACCCATGTGTTGCCATGTATTATTATCTCTTACCATGTATTGACATGTATCGCCATATATTACCATGTATTACCATGCATTGCCATGTATTACTAAGTATTAGAATGTATTACCATGTATTTCCATGTATCACCATGTATTGCCGTGTATAGCCGTGTACTACCATATATAACCATGTTTTGCCATGTATTACTATGTATTGCCATGTATTGCCATATATTACCATGTATTGCCGTGTATAGCCATGTACTGCCATATATACCCATGTATTGCCATGTATTATTATGTATTACCATGTATTGACATGCATTGCTTTGTATTACCATGTACTGCCATGTATTACCATGTATAGCCAGGTACTGCCATGTATTACTATGTATTACCATGTACTGTCATGTATTGCCATGCATTCCTATATATTACCATATATTGCCATGTATAGCCATGTATCACTATGTATTACCATGTGTTGCCATGTATTACCATGTATAGCCATGTATTACTATTTAAGCAATAGAAAACGTTTTCTGTGTTTGCATAGCCTGATATAAACACGAGAGGGATTGGGAGAATTCGAGACAGTTCTGCAAACGTGAGACGAAGTCGAGGGTTTGCATAACCGTCGAGAATTCTCCCAACGCCTCGAGTGTTTATATCAGGCTATGCAAACACAGGAAAAAGTTCTCTATTGCTTTTATAAAATAACTTTCACGAGAAAAAACGCAAAACTTTATGTATGGCACTGATTAAAAGAGAAACTCTTACCAGTCGCAAAATCTTGTCCACGAAGTCTTGCATGCGTAATCAGTTCTTGTTTTGCAGAAAGATGCTTTGCAAAATACGGATTTTTCTCGCTCAAAATGCCGGCTTAAGCAAAGAAAAATTGACTCACCTTCTTTGTAACGATTTTCCATGTTTCAGCCGACGAAGGAATGGGTAAATAAAGTAAACTTGTCGAGTTTTGAACTCGAAAACTTTTTCAAATTCGTGCTTGCGTGATTAGCGCGCGAAAAGCCAAACAACTTGACGCCACAACCATGTTTACATACTCTCATACAAACACTCCTCTCGGGCAATCAGAGCGCGCGTACTATCTTAGTTATTTTATAATTATTATATACATACTGACAAATACTCCCCAAAAAGCTATTTTCGTACGCAAATTAGTTCTAGCCAATCAGAGGAGCGAACGATGGTTTTCACACGTGAAAAAAATGATACGTCCAATCAGAATCGCCAACGATGTTTTTTCACGTGTGAGAAAAATGATAGGTCCAATCAGAGGCTACAGAGGTGTGCGAGTTTCGCGCCAAAATTCCCGCCTTTTATTGCAGCTTGCAGCGCCGCTTCGCACACGTCCAAACGTCCATCGATGAAAGTTTTACTTAAAGAGTTTTTCTCGCTAAAAAAGTGAAAAACATTTCGGAAATGGAGTGGAATAGTTTCGTTTATTTCACTGTCGATAAAGAAAACGGTAGAGAGCCGGCGAGACAACAGCGGAAAGGGATAAACAGAACGAGATGTAAGCTTTTGTTGTGCTTGTTGTCGGAGCTACATTGCCTTTCATTTAAGCTTAAGCTTATATTGAAACCGGCCACTTTACTTAAATTCACTCATTTTCAATTGTGCATGGAAAACAAACAGTTAAGATTACTTACAGTTCTTGGATTACCTCATATCCTTACCGTCATTTATGTTTTTAACAAACATTTTTACTAAAAGCTGATACTTCGTTTTCGTTGTCATTTTGCAATAAGTGTGTAGCGACAAATTTTAGCATTTTTGAAAGATTTAAAATAAAAAGGCCGCCAAAATGGTGAATGTCTCAGTATGTATATAATAAACACAATACGATATGGAAAGTGCTTTGTACGGTATTTACACACACGTTTTTGTATCAGAAATCTTACTCGTTCGCTGCGCTCACTCGTTCGATTTCTGATACGTCAACAACTCGTGCGTAAATACCGTACGCCAGCACTTTCCATGAAGTATTCTCTATGTATGACCATGTATAGCCATATATTAGTATGTATTACCATGTATTGCCTTGTATTACCATGTACTGCCATGTATAGCCATGTATTACTATATATTACCATGTATTGCCATGTATTATCATGTACGGCCATGTATAGCCATGTATTACCATGTATTGCCATGTATAGCCATGTACTGCCATGTATAGCCATGTACTGCCATGAATAGCCATGTATTAGCATGTATTTTCATGTATTGCCATGTACTGCCATGTATAGCCATGTACTGCCATGAATAGCCATGTATTAGCATGTATTTTCATGTATTGCCATGTATTACTACGTATTACCATGTATTGCCATGTATAGCCATGTATTGCTATGTATTACCATCTATTGCCACCTATTGACATTTACTGCTGTGTATAGCCATGTATTGCCATGTATAGCCATGTATTGCAATGTATACCCATGTATTGCCATGTATAGCCATGTATTGCCATGTATATCCATGTATTGCCATGTATTACTTTGTATTGCCGTGGACTGCCGTGTATTACCATGTACTGCTATGTATAGCCATGTATTACCATATCTTTCCATGTATTGCCATATATTACCATGTATTGAATGTATTACGATGTACTGTCATGATTTTCACAATTGATAACGGAAGTCCATCACGGTTGTTTCTTGGCATAAGTCAGGTAGTACAGCTAAGAAAACATATCCACGAGTAGCTACTGATGAACAAATAGAAATTGACAAATGTGGGAACTATTACACACACAGAATCATGTCTAAAATCCTTCATTTTGAACAAAAACGGCTCGGGTTGATTACATTCAGTCCTCGCCGGTAAGTATCACGGGAAATGCAACGTTAAATAAAGATTTTTTAGTGGGCATTTCAGACGTCCCTTCGACTCGAAGGGACGTCTGAAATTCAGGCTAAAAGATTCCCTGGACAAATTGTCAACTCATTTGGTCAAGGAAAGTGTACATTTGACTCGTCAGTCTAGGAATTTGAAAACTATGCCTCTGGCAACCATGTCTCAAAAAGCTCATGCATATTGAGAACTGAGAAAGTGAACACCTTCAACATGACTTGTACGTGGACATTTCATACAAATTCACTATTGCATGGGTATTTGTTTCTCATGCACAAATAACTATGAACACTTTCATAAATGACTTGGTACTTTTTACAGGGATAATTCAGTGCTAATGAGGGTACTGTATATTCAATAATCATGAGTCACGATCGCTTTCATTATTCTCCTCAACTGCATCCCTAATGACATTGAATTTCTTTTTTAGTGTAAGTGACTGTCTGCACCTTGCTGTTACAAACAATTAGTTGTCAAGTGTGATTATGTACTACAACAACTGCAAACACTCTCATTGCTGTAGTTCACTTATCAATAAATATTTTTTTCTCCAATTTATTTTCACAGCAGCATTATCTCCTACCATTTCATCCACTCACTACTACTGACACACTTCACAAGGAATAATTTTTACACTTATTACTAAAGATGGCATGGGTTAGCTGCATATTTGCCTGCAGTTATTAACCTTCACACATATCTCCTTCGACTATAATCACACATGTAGGAGGATCTAATAGGGTGAATACAAGACCTATGAAACATTGGCTACCCTTCCTTAACAACACAAACTCCATTTAAACCCCAGAAATTCCTTTTTAATGACAGAGCACTGGGTTCAAATATAATCAAATATATTTACTCCAACCAAAAGGAGATTAACTGTATCTCACCTTAAAGTATCAGAGCCAGTGTTGAAACCCACCCCCCCAAGCTACACAATTTACTCCAATTCACCCCCCTTCCATCCCTGACATTTTATGGGCCTCCCGCCAAGCTTCTGCGATACACGTATTTCTAGTTTAAGAAATAAATTACGTCTTCCCGTTGAAACAACAAAAAAGTGACAGACTTACCACTGCGACACCTCATTCTCCATTCATGAGCTTCCCTTGGCCAGTCAATACATTTGAAAGCTAACGTCAAGTCTATGGTGTATCCTGTTCCATTGTATCTGTTCGTTATTTGCAAGGTTACAGCAGGTCCATGTGACTTTACAGTAACGAATCTTGAGATGAAAATAAACAGCATTACATTTAATTTACAATTTTTGGTTTCCTAAATGAAGAATGATGGAACTTTAAGAAAAGTTTTTTTGATTCTCTTGTGGGTATAAAAACGTTTAAGATATCAGCATATTTTCTAACACCTAATTTTTACAAAAAGTGTCGGTAGTTTTGAATTAATCTCTCAACAGATTCTCCATAGCTTTGTCAAATAAACCTGAGCTGTGATTTATAATTATTCTGTCTTGGACAAAGAAATAGCATCAAAAAATTCTTTCCAGGCCACTACATTCAAAGTTGAAGAAAATTCAAGGACTTTTCAAAGACTTGCAGAGAAATTTGAGGGCTTTTCAAGGAAAAATGGATAAGGACTTCCCCTAAAATTCAAGGACTTTACAAGACTGTGCGAATCCTGTGCATGTGCAACTTCCTGTCAGTTTGTTTACATGTGCTTTGCTCCTATTGGATAGTATCTTGACACCTTGACGGGGGGCGTAATTAAAAAATCAATAGCCCGCATGCAGGCTAAAAACTAAATAAACAATGAACAATACCCAAAAATCTTACGGAAAGTTAATTGAAAATAACACTTTATACGATTGATATACTTTAACTTATTTACTGTCTTGGCTAGCTAATTGTTTCTTAAAGTTAGTAAAATCACTGGTTTGCATTGAGTCTGGTCGTAAGTTCCATTGTTTAGTGGCATGATAAGGAAAAGAACGAGGGCCATGAGTAGTACATGTAGTTTAAGTACAGGGGGTGTCAGAATATAGTTGCCACATAAATTATAAGATGTTCCAAATACATAGATTGATCATATTCTTGACGTAGATACATGTAGCATACTTTAACAGTTAGAAACAAACTCTTGTAGAGTAAAATTAGCATATTGTGAATACGTCTGTTGTACAGACTGAGAAACACAGTTGACTCAGTTCATCCAATAAAATGTTATAAGCAGATTCAAAGTCGTCTAATATAAATCTAAGAATCCTTTGATTAAGGTTTTCTAGTTTTCCCACATTTTGCACTCCACAGAAATGCCATACTGATGAGCAATAAATATTGAAAATGCAGCTGGATGAAAGCCTTGTACAGTTTTGCCAATGTCGCTTTGGTAATCAGTTTTCTAAATCACAACATGATATTAAATTGATTATTAATTAACCTTTCTGCAGGCAGAAGATGTGGGTTTATCAAATAATTGAAGTTAGCAGTCAAAGTCAAGCCAAAAATGTCGATTGAGTCTTTAACAGGAAAGGCCGGATGTTTACTTTGGTTGACAATCATCTCATTTCTATTATACCATTGATTTGCTGTTTCTACTTCCTTACATAAGCATTCTCCCAGTACCACTGCATCCCTTAAATCTGGTGATCATTGGCATATGCATTTAGTTTAGCCCACTTAATAAAACAAGGTATCTAAAAGATAGTGATGCTGCGGCACATTCTGTTGATACTGGCATTAGTAAGGCAGTGGGACTTAAAAGAATCGAAAATGACATTGAATGTCCTATTTACATGTTGGAAAGTACTAGAAAAATTACTATCAGCCTATATAAAGAACTCATGGGAACGTTGTTTAAAAAATGATCAAGTGGTTATCAACTCCGGTTTTCCCACAGTAAATTGTAGGAAATGATAGAAATTTAGATTGTTTATCCATATATTTAATATAGGGTGTACTATCTTTTCTCTGGAAACATGATACTTTTCTCGCTGTTTATTGCACTTTATTAAGTAACAGTTATTTAGCTATATATTTATAGAAAACAACAATACTAAAAACAGAAAAAAAAGAAAGAAGGAAAAAAAGAGTTCGGTAGGACTCAAACCCAGCACCATTGGCTCGACGCGACTACACCACAGAGACTAATTACGTATTTGTGGGAAAAGTCTTTAATTTAATTCCTTTTCCGTGAAACTTCCGCCGGCAAGATGATTGCCAGCCGCATTAATCGAGCTGTTAACAGCAAAAAAACAATGTAAACGCATTATTCCATGGCAATGAATGAATGAAAGAACATAATTATGCTTTTCAAAACGCCGATACACGTCCTCGTCTGCAACTCAGGACACAAAACATATGTTTTGTTATCTCGTTTTCCGCTGTTATTTTGAAGCGAATGGTCAAAATCACATCCATTTTCGGCTCATACAGGTTCTTAAGAATAGCATGGCATGACGTTTTCTCACTTTCACATCACCTTCTACCAAGCTGGAATTTGTATATCCCCCGTGTTGCGGAGTCGAAGAGCAAATACTCATCTTCTCGTCAGGTTTAACACCTGGACAAGTCAAAGGCTCTTGAATTGAAATCCAATCCCCAAGTTAACCATCGTACTCATCTGAAAGACTCCTGCGTGTCTTAAATTTGGTAAGACCTCTAACCGTGCTGTAGAAAATTTGCTACAAAGAAAACTCTGAGTCTGGGCTGCGAACGATGCGAACTTCCCCGTGTTTTTATTTGAGTTGTTCGTGGCGCAATGCATTGTGGTAAAAAGTGTGGTTAAATGCAATGCATTGTGGTAAAAAGCGATGAATTCGAGAATTCGTCACCGCTTATATATTTCCCTTAAATCCTGATTATGTTGCAGCTCGCTCCCTACGGTCGCTCCGCAGCAATAAAAAGGTGATTTATGAAAATAACATGGGCTCTCGTACGCTTGCTTGGGATCGGCTATTAACTGAGTTACGAGCTTGATTTAAGTAAGAGTTGAGTTTGAGTTACCAAAAAATCCCTCTTTTTACAGCAAAATGCGTTTTCACCGTTTTGGTTTCTGTTTTTATTTTTTTTTGTATTTTTTGTTGCTGCGTTTTTATGATTAGTGCATGTAACTACGCCCCTGCAGGGGGAACGAAACACTTCATGGGCGCATGTTATTGAGAGCATTGTTCACATATTCTGTGATCTTCCTCTTATTCAAACACAAGACTGTTTTTTTTGATCGCTTGATACCCTGAATCATCTTTAGTATTGAATGATCTATCTTCATAGCCATTCAGTGCTCGACTTTCAGAAAAAAATCTTGGGGCCAGGTGGCCCCCAAGTTTTCTTTTTTGGTCGCCAGAACAAGTATTCTAGTCGCCAAAAATCATATTTAAGAACTAATTGCGTTCGAGGTACGAGAACGCAACCCCTAATTTGTGTCGGGTGTTCTGTGCATTATTGGGTTCCCTGTGCAATAAATAAGGGAGGTTTTTCGAGATTGCATTTGTCGTGGTCGCGACACACATTTTCCTCGCTTTGAGGCGCTTGATTACGTTTTGCCTCACTTTGACGAACTAACTCACGTGGTGATTCGTGGGTCCTCAAGCGTTTGCTGAGGTCTTTTATTATGTCTTCGTAAAGCATTCATGTTTTAAAAGTTTGCTGGATCTTTGTAAAGCGTACATATTACAAGAGTTTGCTGAAGGTCTACTATCGATCTGTGTTTGCTGAATCTTTTAAAACCTTCATCTTTCAAGCGTTTCGGCGGCCGTTATGCCCCAAATAAATCTGCCGAGATGTGAAGCTCGGCGGCGCCGTTTTATCATGACTTGTGATATTTTCGGCACCGGACAAACGAACATTTTAGGTCTATGTTATTTAACAGCCCACAGTAGCTCCACTCAAGTCACTGAGATCAACACACTCGACCATACTACTGCACTTATTGAGACGGACCATACGATATCACTAGCCTTCAAGGCTTTTTCGTAATGATACACATTTGAAATAGAGCTTTCCCTGTAAGCAATCCTTTCGTTTATAATACGCCATGATCAAATTAGAGCCCGGTTTCCATATGATCGCTACCATCGCTGAGATCGCTGCGATCGCTGCGATCGCTGAGATCATAGCGATCATATAAAACCACTCTCCAGCGATCGCATCGACAACAATCGCTGAGATATAAAAAGTTCTATCTCAGCGACCGTTGTCGCTGGGATCGCTGGAGAGTGGTTCCCATACGATCGCTGAACTTTTTTTTCTCAGCGACCGTGGCGATCATATCGAAACCAGGCTTAATCTATCGCAATAACCATCCACCCTTCTTCCTTAACTGTTACCTGTACGCCTTACAAACATATCGCTCGCACTCTTTTAAGCTCCGATTACTCGTGGTGGAATACAATAAACTTATTACAACTTTTACTTAGCCTTGATAGATAAAGAATTCTTTAGACTTCCTTTGAACTTTCTTTCGAACGGTTTTCGCTCAAGGCTTGTATACCAGCTGGTGTTCGGGAACATGAACCCACACTCAAGCGTAAATCTACTCAAACAGGTATTCAAGCAATGCAATACACATTTAGATACACAAACTTTAGGAATCACAGCAAAACTTATTTGGGTTATTAAAGAACAAAATCTGCAAAGTTTGTTTTCCGTGCCATGTATTTTTATGTTCAGAAATGAACATCCGTGAAACTTGATCTATTTCGCGGTTGCCTAGCACGTGATCAAAAGTGTCCAGAAAGAGGAAACGTCGCTAATGCATCGGGCAAAGAAGTTGATTTTGCGAGAAATCTGTTAGACAAACACCATGAGTTCAACGGTACTTCATTAGAAGTCAATAAAATGCGGCAGAGCTTTTATTTGGGTCGTCACGCTCAACAGAAATTCAATAAAGTTGTTTACAAGAAGCTCGAGAAATAAGAGCCGTTCGTTCTCAATTAGCTTAAGCTTTTATCAGACTAATCTGCTATCAAGTCCACAATCGAGATACATGTTCGACATTAAAAAATTGTTCTAAATCGATGCGCTAAAAGTCATTCCCGGAGAAACACCGGACGACCTGTTGAGAATTGTGATCGATCTGCCCGAAAGTCGATAAGACTTCCATCGAATTCATCACTTGTGATTTTCACAATCCTCTTTCAAGTAAAAGTCAAACGTTAGACTGACCAACTGTTAGATCATAAGAACAATCCGTTCGTGTGTTGGAAGAAATCGTTAAAGCGTTTAGACAAATCGTTACAACGTTTAGACAAACCGTTAGAGCGTTTGGGCAAAACGTTAGAGCGTTAGCAAAACCGTTAGCTATCCGTTGGTTTTGAAAAGGATAACAAATTATCATTAGTGTACGTTTTCCCAAAGAAGAAAGTCACCTATCTCGGGGGCCAGGTTGGCGACCAGGCGTGAAAATCTAGTCGCCACTGAGAAAAAGCTGGTCGCATTGGCGACCCCACAGGTCGCAACATCGAGCCCTGCATTTAATAGTTTGCATGGCTTTCACATCCAGCACCTCAGTACAGAAGAACCTTGATATCACAGAGGGCTGAGGGACTCGCAATCAAGGTTCTTTTCAATATATTTTGCTATAACTGGGGCAAAGAATATCATTCGTTATACCAAGGTTTTAATTCTATAGAGGTTTGGTATACCAACATTCCACTGTATAACTGAAGTTACACACATTGTAAATTACAGGCCACAGAAAAAAAAACAATAAATGATAAATTCACAAGGGTATTAATGTCCACACTGATACATTCTGGCTTACCTGTCCTGACCCATACAGCTAATTGCATCTCTGACAAGCCTTGCAAAAACAGCTTTGACCCTTGATGCATATAACCGTCCATATGCATCAGCACAACTGTCTCGCTGCCATGACTTCATTATATTCTCAGAAACCCTAAGCCGTATGAATCCTAGGAACAGAAAGAAATATTATTGTCTTGAACATTTATTGTCACCTTCTCAAAGGATATTGACAAAAAAAGAAAAAAAAAACACACACACACACACAATGACAACAACCTGATTGTATAATAAAAAGGAGGTTCAATGTATTCTAGGGCAAGTTGTTCTTTACCCTAACAAGTTGTATAATTCATTAAGTTTTGCTTTTCTTAAAGAAGGCTACTTCTACTTAGTAAAATTATGTTGGCCACTTTCTTTTGCATTTCCAATGTACTGTCCTTGCATGTGATGCTTTTTTTTATGTCCAGGATGTCTTAAGTCCCATGTGTTATGCAGCTTCTCCATTTTTTACTGTCTGCAGCTGTTCACTTTAATTTACATTCACTTTACATTGTAGCTAGGGTGCATGTTTATTGACCAGTCAGTAAAAGTTACTGTAAAAGTGTCGAGGACATTTTATCTATGTGTTGATGAGTATCTACAGTAATTGTCCCAACTGATTTGAGTGAGGTCATTATTAAAATTTTTAGGTGAAAAATTAGAATAGTCCTGTACTTTAGGTGAAACAGATAAAATGCGACTGGTCGGGTGAAGTGAAATACAAAACTGAGAAAAATGGTTTGTTAGATCAGAGACTATGTTACCACCTACAAAGAATTTATTTTTCAAGGTCATTTGTAAAGATATTATCAATAAGAGTGGCCGATGTATTATGTACACGAGTGGGTTTGTCAATAGTTGGAATAAGATGAAAGCTTTGAGTGGACATTAAGAATCTTTGGCTAATGGAAGATAACTGCGACTTGAGCAGGTCAATGTTGAAATCCCCCATTATGTAGACGAGCCTGTCACGAAGAAAAGATTTTTCGACACCTTCATCAAAGTATATATTTGAAAAGATTCCGGAGAATTGTCTAGTCTATAAAAAAGCCCACAAACAATATTCTTCTTGCAACCAAGAATAATTTCAATCCACAATGCCTGGAATGCTTCACTCGAAATATTTTCTAGCAACATTCATTCGAGTGTCACTAATATACACACCAACGCCTCCAGATGCCAGTGGTGTCGGGATGTACTCAAAGTTATAACCTTTCAATTGCGGGATATTTTGATTAAAATTAGCATGTGCTTGGAAGGTTTGGGGGTCTTGGGTCCCCCTCCCACCCTGTTTGCGGGCCCTTCGCCCTCCAAGCACCTTGGAGGGAAGGGTTGGGTGGTTGCTGCACACACGGTTGTCATGGATACCCTATGCATTTAGCTCTGCTTGTCTAGTGGCTCCACCTTCTTCAGGCACCATTCCCCACGCTCTTCTACTGTTGTTAATTTACCAGGTACACATATCAGAAAAATATTTTTCTGTCATAGTAAAAACTGTTTTTAAACAAGGAAATATAGCCTTGGACCAGGCTCCCCAGTGGGGGGAAGAGGCAAAAAATGGGGTCAAATGGGAAAAATATTGGAGAGTGAAGAAAGCTAAATGGTGGCCTGGGGAGGGGGGAAAGTATAAAAACATTTGAGATAAACCACCTTTTCACAAAAAATGGTAAATAACTTCAGTATCCTACTACAGGTTTTTCTGTAACTTCACCAAATAAGCCTGAGAGCTCTCTAGTTTTATACCTGAAGCTTTGTAATCAATCTTGACCATGCAACTCGCTGCACAAAATGCTGGTGAAATTAAACCTTAAAATGCTACACTTACTCATTTGTGAAAGTTGACACACAAATAGGGGAAGAGTGCCAAAGGAAGGACTATCTCTGATCTGAAAGGGTATTTTCTTACCCAAAGCTTTCTTGCTAGAAACTATGTAATCAGAAACCTACGACAGAGACAATATTTATTAGCACTACAGGAAGAACACCTTTATGCCGAAAGCGAAGTGAGATGAAAAAATTCCTATTCTTCAAACTGAGTTTGTATTTGTCCCTCTCTTTTCCAAACAAACCCAGTCCACAGAAAATGCAGATTCCTGTTTTGAGAAATAAAGCCATTAACTCCAGTCCTTCTAACCATCCCTTTTCCAGCTGCAATGAACACCCTTGTTTCTGGTACTTTATTCAAGGTTTTTTAGATTTGACATTACATGTACATTTGCACAGGAAGTTTGCCACTTGGGGATAAAAAAGAAGACAAAAATGGCAAATTATCTTATTCTTATCATTATCCAGGGGCACCCAACGACAATTTTCAGAAAATATCTGTTCGGAAGATGATTTGAGATCTAGAATTTTTGGAACATTTGTTGTAAAATTTCTTGTTTGCCTGCCTCTCCTAGGATTTTCGAACATCTAAAAATGGTATAATCAGATAATTGCCCATTTTTAACGGATTTTTTACCCTTAAAAGGTCACCTAGAATTTTCGGCAGCCTTTTTTCTGGCTGAAATTTTCGAAAAGGTAAGTTTTGATCCCTATAATTTCCGGATCACTAGACTTTAAGGTAGGAAATCCGAACAGATGAAAAATTTTAGGGGATAAAAATATGCCTATATCTACCATTTAAATACTAAAATATGTTAAACAATTCTGTGTTTAAGTGGTTTTGAACTATATTCTCGTTGGGTGCCCCTGATTATCCCCAATGGCAAATCTTCTAAGCTTGAATAAATTACCAAGTACGAGGGTTTTCATTAGAGCTGAAAAATGGATGGTTAAAAGTACTGAAGTTTGTGGCTTTAATTCTCCTCAAAACTGGAACCTTCGGTGCTAAAAACTGATGGGAGATTTCTTTAGATCAAGCAATATATTGTGCTTTGTTGAGATTTTTCTAAAAAGAAAAAGACAAATAAAATACATGTTAGCATTAACTTGGATAAACCACAGTTCTTTAATCTCACCCCACAGTCAGCATAAAACTATTCTTCTTGTAGGGCAAACTGTACTCTCTGTAGGTCAGTGATTACTCAGTTTACCCTTTCGGACAGGAGACAGTCTGTGGGCACTCTTCCACTATTTGCAGTGTTCTCCTTATCAGGCGGTAACCAGTAAAATTTACCACTTGAAGCAAGTACACTTCTTACCACCTGCAACCACTTAAAAGTTTACTAAAATTATACAAGTTGTTTTGCAAGTTGTGAACTTCTTTCTTATATGGGTCACGCATCATGGTAAGAGGACATTAAAAACAAGATAAAATTATTAAAATTACACGTTTTAATTAGTTGTCTAAAGATCTAAACTATAAATTTGTAGGGAAAAGGTATACTGCTGACTTCATTTCACAGGAGATATTTAAGCCCAGGACCAGGTTATTTAAAGCTGGGTAAAGATAATCCAAGGTTAAGTGAAATCTGAATTCAGATATGAAAGCTTAAAAAATAAATTCAGTTCAATTCTTTTTGTCAACAAGTTGATGATTGGATGCTCTTAAAAATAACAGAGAAAATTATTTGAGAAAATGCTTTTGAACAAACGAAAAAGAAACACGGGTTAAATTCAACCCTGGGTTAAGCGCTAACCAGCATTCGAACAACTGGGTCCAGAATAATAAATTGTGGCTCTTTAAAAAGTAAATTGTAAAATTAGTTGTAAGTTTTTAACCTCAGATCGGAAGGCCGATAGCTTACAACAGCAGATTAGTTTAAGAAAGGTAGGGCCATGTCCTTCACCCCACTTCCCCCTCCCCTAGGAAATTGCACCTCTGGCGTATATTTTTTGCCTTGCCGGCCAGGAATGGTCCCTTACCTGCTGAGCTAAAATTCAGCGTGAACACTGTATTTGAGTCAGCTTTTACCAGCATTTTGTGCTGCGAGTTGCATGGTCAAGATTGATTTCAAACCTTCAGATATAAAACTAGAGAGCTCTCACACTTATTTGCTGAAGTTACAGAAAAACCTGTAGTAGGATATCAAAGTTATCAACCTTTTTTTTGGTGAAAAGGCAGTTTCATTTAGTAAAAAAGTATATACTAACAATAACTATCTCAAACGTTTTTATACTTACAAGAAAATAAAAAAAAAATTCTTAAAGTTCCAACATTCCTTATTAAGGATGCCAAAATTCATAGAAATCTGTTAAATCTTTCCGGCTGAAAAATGCAATTAAAAAACATAACCAACACGCTTATTAATAGGTTTGGATCACCTTAATACATTTTTTCACATTTCATTGCACAAGCTATTTAGAAACCACAAACGTTTTATCTGCACCCGATTGGGCCTATAAAATTTGTTTTTGAACATGCAGAGCAAATATTCATGAGTGACAGTGAACTTGCACCTGTCCAGTTCCAGTCTAGAGGAAAAGGTGTAGCACTAGAAGTGGATTGAGAGCACCCAACGGCTGAGGGAGGTGGATCACAAGATTGTCTTTGTGCCAGTACATAAATTATGAACCCTCCCTGGGCACACAATTGCAGGCTAGCAAAATGAGCTCTAGATAAATCTATAGTTAAATCCTACTTTTTTGGCCACTTTAGATGGAGAATTAAATCTTTGAAGTTAAGAATGCAGCTTTTTGGTCTTGAATGTACATACAGCTGTATGTGATCAACTGACATCTCATAATGGACATTTTTGAGTTGCACAGAGAATCTACAACTGTAGCTAAATAATAACACGTCTTAATATTGTGAGTTAACTCTAATACAACCCCTACCAGTGAGTAATATTCAAGGCTGTGCTCTATGGAAAATTAAAGGGAGCCCAGAGCTCTGAACCTGTAAAATCTAGGGTGCCCAGCATATGATCTGTATGAAAAAAACTACGATTTTCTAGTCGCCCAAGAGCAAAAGTTGGGCACTATGGGCCACAGTGGGCTCTGCTACAGCACAGCCCTGATATTAAAGATTTGGTAACTCCTCTAGGGTCTTACAAGCTACCCGGCAAAATTAATACCACCTCAGGGCTTCTAAAAATAATAACATATACACCCTGCCAGTTTTGCAATACATGTAAATGAATGCATTTAAGGCTTGGCCTCTTTCTCTAGCTCCATCCACTTGGAGAAAGTAGTTGTTCAGATACTATAAAAATTCAATCATCTTAATGCAATAAGTTGTTCTGACCCTGCTGGTGTACTTAGGCAAATGTTAAAGTTTCAGTTGATTGTATTGGTACAGAATTCTAAATGCTTATCACTTATTTTCAAATGTCACGGCCACAAATGTAAACTGCAGATTCTTTTGCTTTGGTTTCTGCACAGTCACATTTCCAAAGGACTCCAAATTAATGCACTACATCAAACAAAACCTGACTCAGGTTCAATAGTCTTTTTTTTATGTTACTTCATTTTATTCCTTTGACCAACTAAGACTGATTAAGAGCAATAAAAACAGAAGTAGGATCCGTGAATAAGTCCCACTTACATATGTGCATTATAAGAAGCCTAATCGTACAGATATTCTACATGGAAAAGTTATAAAAGTTGCCAAATGATATTTTAATGTACAAAGCAGTTCAGTATGTTCTGGAGGCGTTAATAATCATGTTTCAATTATATATTACAAAACAGACAATAATTTTGTAAAAAAAACAAGGTGGCATCTAGTCACACTTTGATCAAAATATCATCACTGTTCACTTCTGTTCCAAGTTTACAGTTTCATTATTAAAAAACAGACAACCCAAAAAGTCAAGTCAACAAGCCAAAATTAGGACCATTTTATAGTTTGCCAAGGACATATTATACAAACTAAAGCAAGTGAGTGAGTTTTTGCATTGTTTTGGATATTTGTGACAGATACTTTCCTGGCATATCTGATTTCAGCTGTTTGTTGCATTTGTGTTAACAGAGAGTGTGAGATGAAACATTAATAAATTATTGTTTCTGTGGCAGCACGTGAGTTGATGTATGCGCTTTGCCTGATCATCCACTTGGTTGTTTGCATTTGAGTTCAAGTTCGATGGCAATAATGGATTTTTTACAGTTACAGTGCAACCTACAATATTCGACTTTGGAACTTTCATCAGAAGAATCTTCTCAGGTGAGTCTATTAAAAGATCAGTAATAAAACCGTTATAGCTCCTGATTGGGACTGATATTGTGCAGTTAAAGCAATGAAATAAGTTGCTTTGTAGAATTCTTAATTTTACTCTTTTACTTGGTTTTTCTTTCCTTTAATTTTTTTTTGTCTGACGAGACTGTTTCCTTGTCAGGTCAGGTCTAGTCTCTGACCTGATATATGACCTGCTTATAAAAATATAAAAATACTTGCAGCCTTGGTCGTGAAACAAACAACATTTCATAAGGTAAATTCGGAACTTTCATTGATGTGATTTGTCTATTTCTTTTTTTGTGTTTTTTAACTATCACTTTTAAGGCCAGAGATTTTTAGGTTCATACATACTTCTAACTAACCTCATTTTCTAGGTCCATACTAGACAAAATTTGTATAATGTATAAGGTAAGTTACGGACCACGGTTTTTTCTCTTGATATAATTTTATGGCCCAAGATGGAAGCACATGGGTCAACGATCAAAGGGAAAAACAAGAAACCATAACATACCGTAAACCTGACCAGTCACAGTGCATGTACATGTAATAAATACATGTATGGCAGCTCAGCATTTTAGGCATGAGAGCAGAACTCCAGAAAATGGCAAATGAGTTCAGAGAGATTTGAAGATAAAATAGCAGCAGCGCTGACTTAAACTGATTGCAAGAATAATGCAAAAATATTACTCTATGAATGTCAACACTTTCTGTAGAATATCTGCAAAAAAATACATCTGCCGAGAAACTACGTGGAGGTAAGGATGTTAAGAACTTAGAAATATTTTAAAAGAACGACTGCAAAACAATGAATTTGGATTATTATGAAGAATCATCAGATCGTGTATGATATCATGCCAAAACTGAGTTGAATATTTGTGAAATATTTCACTGTGGCTATATGGCCGGTAACTGGTCAAGGTTTTCAAAACACTAAATTACCGGCAGTCCAGTATTTTCAATAAATTTGACTTATCTAAGAATCCCAACCAGTCCAACTGTTTTATAGATCTCACGTCTAGCATTTGGTTTACGCTGGGCTCAGAAAACAAAACCATGTTTTGTGACACTTAGGACTTTTTTTTCTGGTCAACTGCCGGTCAAGATTGTTAAAACACCAAATGACTGGCAGTCTACTCTGCCAGCAGAGTCGCTTTGATCTTTCCTAGATACCTGTAAGTTGGGAAAGGGGAAAGAGGAAAGAGGAAAGAGGAAAGCCGAAAGAGGAAGCTGGAAAAAGTTCTAAGTGTCACAATACATGGTTTCGTTTTCTGAGCCCCACGTAAACCAAATGCTAAAATTGAGATCTATAAAGCATTTCAGGATTGCTTGACTTTTCTTAATCAACATATGATAGTTTAGATTAGATAGATTTTTTCGATTTATCAAATTTATTCATATTGAGAATATAGCACTGCCTGTCATTGGACCTGAAAAAAGTTTTAAGTGTCCCAAAACATGGTTTCGTTTTCTGAGCCCAGCGTAAACCAAACGCTAGACTTGAGATCTATAAAGCATTTGCGGATCGCTGGACTTTTGTTAATCAACATATGATAGTTTAGATTGGTTGGGATTCTTAGATAAGTCAAATTTATTGAAAATACCGGACTACCAGTCATTTTATAGTGTTTTAAAAACCTTGATCGGTTACCGGCCATATAGCCACAGCATAAACTAACTAATGTAGGAGGACTGTTAAAGGAGCCTGGTATCTGTGCTGGCGAAAACCAAATGGAAACAATTAAAAAATTACAGCCAGTATAAGCTTAAGTTTTTAGTAGCCAATTTTTTAAAACTAGACTTCATTCTACTTTTTACATACGTTTTTACATTAAGGTATCATCCACCCTCACGCACCTTCCCCGCGTTGATCGGCGCTAGCGCTTTTGCTTTTAATAAAATAATACCCCCATAAACCATACATTTTCTGAAAGCTTAATAGTTCCAGATTATTGCTTATTTCTTTTCAAAAATCAAAATATTAATGCTATTCAGAAATGAGAAGCTTTTTGGGAAAGTGAGTGTCACTGTAAATTTAAGACCAGGCCAGCCAAAAATAAACGGAAGAAGCCAGTTAAGATCGCGAATTTGTTGCTCCCCTTGGCCGCTTCGCGGCGTAAAAAGCTAGCCTCGCTCGCTAAGAAACTCGTGAAACTTGATTTGGCGGTAGTTTCAATGGGTTTCAATGGGAGCCCTTGTCGCTCTCTGCTAATTTCGAAGCCCACACTTTGCAAAACGATTTTGTCGTCTTCTTTTGTCTTGGAGTCGAGGACGAAACCGGACAAGCTCTTTTTTCTTCTTTGGAGGCATTCACTTCCAAAATCTGGGGAAAAATAGTGAGCACTATACTTGTAGACCACGATTTCTGTCATTTGCGTGATTAGCTTCGTTCAACAGCGGTATGCGTATCAAGTATGACAGGACTTGTCAAGGATCAATTAAAATAATTAGCATAGAAAAACTTTTGCGCTCCATCAGTCTGCACAGAAAAAACATTTTTTCCTGGAATTTTTTTTTAAACGAAAGCTCTTGATGAGCTCTACTTAATCATTTAAAATTAAAAATTTCGAAAAATGGTGATTTTTTTTACCCTGGATGATACCTTAATATACGCCATGACACTCTTCAGTACACGTTTGGTCCGACATGTATTATTTAACAGTTAATGAATGAGGCTGAGTATCTTATGAGGGATTATGGAGATCAAGGAGGGTGTTATCCATCGCGGCCGAAGGCCGAGGCAGATAACACCCTCCTTGAACTGCATAATTCTTCATATGATACGAAAGCCAAATTCAATAATTGTTTTATTATTCATTCAAAATAATTCCTAGTTTAAAAACATAACTAAAACATGCTTATCTCCATCGATCTATCGATGTTCAGTTCATCTTCCATAGTGTACGTTTAGGTTTGTCCAGCTCCGCAAATATTCTCCAAATAGCAGATGTCACCCTCTGAGTTGTCTTCTTGCTGTTTTTGCTATGTTTTTAACTATTACTTTGCCTTGTTCCAGCTGTAGTTCTTACTCTTGAAACGAGTGAAGTGTCGGCCATTTTTGCTTTCACAACCAAAAACAACTCAATCTCATCTCCAGGTCTTCTCGGTTAACGGTTCATTAACCTGTAGAAGGCTGCATTTTTGACGTCATTTCCTCGTTAAACACAAAATTCTTTCAAATTTGGTCATCAGTAACTGGTTATGGTGAATTAAACGTGTGCTTTTAGACAATCAGAATCGGGGAAATATTTTGAATGAATAATGATATGTATTAATTATTTGTATTAGTATATGAGCAACAGCTTGCGAGCAGGCAATCGAGGGAATATTTCAGCAGCGTGGTCGCTAGCGCAAGCCGGTGAAACCGACGAGACAATAGAGAAATTTACATGCAGAATCACGCTTTCATACGGTAAACAGCAAACGTCAGATTCGAGTTCACAATTTCTCCGATTAAAAAATGAGCAGATAAAATGTTGCAAAATAATTCTTATGGCTGGAACAAATTACCTCTCCCGTTTGACGAGATTCTAAATCTCTCTATTCTTCTCGCCGGCTTCGCCGGGTCGGGCAAATCCACTGATACCTCAAACACGCGAGCCTGCTCGCAGAGCGAGTTCAAGTTCTTTTGATCGAACAGCAACATCAATATAATTTGTTGTGAATGGCGATCCACCACCTACCTAATGGCGGTTGTACTGTCATGCCTGGTCCTGTTTGAAAGCTCACCATACTTGTAAATTTCAGGTCTTCAAAGATGAGCATCAAATCAAATTCATCGGGCTCCCTAACTTTTGCTCTTTCGTAATAGCTTCCAGAGCCAAATCTACTCAACGAAGCAAATCGATCATCGTTCTTCTTCACATAATCTATGATCCACTCCACAATCGGTTCCCAGTAACGCAAGGCGTCGTTTTTCCTTTTTTGACTTAACTGAACATTTTCTTCAAAGTATTTTTTGAAAACCCGGTTCAAATCATTCAATTTCTGTTCACGTAAGAATTCAAGTGAGCGATTCATCGTCAGCGCGGTCCTTTACGCTCTCTCCTCAACCGTCTAATCCTCAAAGATACCACGTGATCAAAATTTTCGCGCCAAACGTCAATCTCGTTCCCAGAGTCCCGCCGCAAAACTGAATAAACAGTCTTGACCGGCATCGGGGTGGGATGGCAGAGGGGATGGTTTTGGGGGTTTAATGACATTGGCAGTTCGCTTGGTCATCGTAGCCTGCATAACAGGCGCGCTATGCGCCAAGCGAGGCAAACGCGGCATTTTGCGCGAAGCGCGAGACAATGGGCGAAGAAAAAAATTAAGCGCCTGTGCCCTGCAGGATCGGAGCTCCTGGCACCAGTCCGGTAGTCCATTGTTCCGGCTCTTCCGCCCACCTACGCCTACAAACATTAGGGAGGACGGCGACGGCGGCAAAAACATCGCTTAAAAAGTGACTCCTCCATCTATGAAACTTTAGCGCGATTATCCCAACTCGGTCACTATGTTTTATGTAAGCGAACTCTCCCAGAGTTGAATTCTTAAGAAAAATATCCAGGTATACAAAGAGTAAGAGAGATTCGTCGTCGTATGTTCACGTTGTCGATAAGACGTGAAATTAGGCAATTGATCACGTCGTAGTCGTGCAGCGACGGCAAAGAAATGTACAAAAAAGCGTGATGCACGTGCAGAGTTGTTGTTTTGCTAATCTTAACCAATTGCTTTTTAACGTTCTCGTTGCCGTCGCCGTAGGGGCATCTTAAACTCCCTAATGACTGACGGCGGTGACGTCAAAAGGACCAATGAAAACACGATCCATTGCTCGAAAATCGTCACCTTTCTGGTCACCAGAAACGCCGACAGCAGCATAAACCACAGGAAATAACTATTACGAGGGCATGAATCACCTTCAATAATATAATTTATAAAATAACTGAGATAGTACGCGTGATCTGATTGGTCAAAAACCTATGGTTTATTATACCGGTAAACCCATAGAAAAAGGCATCCGGACCACGAGCCATAAACAAAACCGGCTATTGATCTGCAAACGATTTTAGAAAGGCTAAAAAACAGAACAAGTTACTTACCCAGCCCTTCTTAATATTAAAAGCGTTGGTTTTCACATTTTATTACTGAGCGTCACAATTCGCTACTGCCATAGCTTTAGAAGTTATAAAGTACAAAGCTGGAAAACAGTTTACATTTCACGACGATGCCAAATCGCAGAGAAAGACAACAACTGTGTGAATTTCTGGTGTACAAAGTCTCTAGGAAAACTTAACAATGTGCCAACCAGCAACAAAACGGATAGTTTTAGCATTCTTGATTTATTTTATCTCAAACTTAAATTCCTTAATGAAAGAAATTGTTCCAAAAAGAGATCTCTGATCAAGATATGGTACAAAATCGGCCGCTGTAGGTTGTAAACAAGCTGCCAACGATGATGAAAGATGTCAGAGTTTTGGGCTGGTTTTTTCCAACATTTGCACAAATTATTCTGTGATATCGATGCCATAACCTACCTCAAACCACCTCACTTCACGAATCGACAAATATTAACGCCAATATGTGACTACGGCAAAGAAACCTTTCTCCACCACTGACATATTTCCATCGGTCGCTGTACGTTCATATAAAGTTACATGCGACAACTTCGCAAATGCAGCCACGTCGTTACCGCAGCATTTCTTGATCATAATTAAGTCCAGAAAACAGATCTTAAACCACTGCGGCTTGTAAGAAGTGAATGAAGTCCTCTATTACAATAGCTGTCAGTTCCGTCTGTAACAACGAAATTCTTACGGATCGACTCAACAAAATACAGCTGCGTACAGTCTGATGTTCAATTGATTTCTACTTCTGTAGTAAACAAACCATGAACGTATTCTTTCATTGTACGTTCGCATGAATATGTGTTGACTTTTCCTGTAAAACAGCTTTCATAAGTTATCATGTAATGAGTGCAAAAACTCGTGTTTTGAAGTGCTGCTGTTTATTGTTTGACTGAACGAGTTTTGAGAAAGTTCAACGCTATTAAATCGTGAGTCATGATTGGCTTATGATGACTTTAGAGAGAAGACGTGACTTGATCACGGTACTAGAACCATATTTTTTGCCTAAATACTCCATTCTATTAAAAGTTATTTTATAAAAGCAATAGACCACACTTTCTATGGGTTTACCGGCGTGATAACCCACTTGGGATGTTGGAAGAACACTCGAAAAGCTTGTAAATCACTCGCCTTCGGCTCGTGATTTACAAGCTTTTCTCGTGTTCTCCCAACATCCCGCGTGGGTTATCACGCCGGTAAACCCATAGAAAGTGTGGTCTATTGCTTAAGTAAGACACAGTGTGAATAAGATTTGCTCAGTCAAAATTTTAGTTCATGTCCGCACAGCGGCGAGAACAAATTCCAAGGTCACGTTTCACATTGTTGGCCTGTCAATTAAAATTGCGGGCGACAAAAGGAGCCCGCAGCCTATTCTTGGTCAGCGGCACTTTTTTAACCGCAGAAAAATATGAATCGGCAAACTGATCCTTACGGCAAAGTGATGAGGAAGTAAACAAAAGATTTAAACAGAAATATATATTTAAAAAAATTGTCGAATATTTCGGTTTGAAAATAAGCCTTCCTCACTGAATCAGGGGCTAAAAGAAAAATGAAAATAAAACTAAAAGTTCGTTACAAGAAGAATTTGACGATGTGATTATAAAAACAATGGATGGTTATTGGTATAGTAAACTAGGTCGTATTATATATCAGTGGGCTTCGTCACGTCTATTTATTCCTAGAGGAGATAATTTGTTCCCTTTTTGTATTAAATGAGCTTCTCGAGCCTTTCTCACTGCATCACGTTTGCTGCGTACGATCCCGAGTTCAAGTGGGATTTGAATGACGTCGTTGATTGAATGTACAGCTTGATGAACTGATGTTTAGGCAATAGAAAACGTTTTCCGTGTTTGCATAGCCTAATATAAACACGAGAGGGGTTGGGAGAATTCGAGACAGTAATGCAAACCCGAGACAAAGTGGAGAGTTTGCATAACTGTCGAGAATTCTCCCAACCCCTCGAGTGTTTATATCAGGCTATGCAAACACAGGAAAAATGTTTTCTATTGCTTTTATAAAATAAATTTCCCGAGAAAAAACGCAAAACTCTTTGTATGGCACTGATTAAAAGAGAAATTCTTACCAGTCGCAAAGTCTTGTCCACGAAGTCTTGCACGCGTAATCAGTTCTTGTTTTGCAAAAAGATGCTTTCCAANATGAGCTTCTCGAGCCTTTCTCACTGCATCACGTTTGCTGCGTACGATCCCGAGTTCAAGTGGGATTTGAATGACGTCGTTGATTGAATGTACAGCTTGATGAACTGATGTTTAGGCAATAGAAAACGTTTTCCGTGTTTGCATAGCCTAATATAAACACGAGAGGGGTTGGGAGAATTCGAGACAGTAATGCAAACCCGAGACAAAGTGGAGAGTTTGCATAACTGTCGAGAATTCTCCCAACCCCTCGAGTGTTTATATCAGGCTATGCAAACACAGGAAAAATGTTTTCTATTGCTTTTATAAAATAAATTTCCCGAGAAAAAACGCAAAACTCTTTGTATGGCACTGATTAAAAGAGAAATTCTTACCAGTCGCAAAGTCTTGTCCACGAAGTCTTGCACGCGTAATCAGTTCTTGTTTTGCAAAAAGATGCTTTCCAAAATACGGAGTTTCCTCGCTTAAAATGTCAGCTCAAGCGAAAAAAAAATTGACACACTTTCTTTGTAACGATTTTCCAAGTTTCAGCCGACGAAGGAATTGGTAAATAAAGTAAACTTGTCGAGTTTTGCACTTGAAAACTTTTTCAAATTCGTGCTTGCGTGATTAGCGAGCGAAAAGCAAACATCTTGACGCCACAACCATGTTTACATACTCTCATGCAAACACTCCTCTCAGCCAATCAGAGCGCGCGTACTATCTTAGTTATTTTATAAAAGGAGATAGGAGTGGGATCGCTGAGTTGTTAGTGGTTCAATAATGGATCGGCGGTGTTCTCCAACGCAATGAAATTAATTGCACTGATCCAGGTCTACAACTGGGACATCCGGCACCACTCACTGCTTTGTTGCTCGCCAGAGCGAGCGAAACGGTAGAGGGCGTGAGAATCACCCCTCGCAAGAAAGGCGATACACGGCGGGGAGAGCCGGAAAATTTCTCTCTCCTCGCCGCGTCTCGCCAATTTCTCTCTCCCGCCGTGTCTCGCCTTTCTCGCGAGGTGTGATTTTACGCGCGCTCGCGTTTTGCTCGCTCTACTAAATGAAAATGGGGACCAGACAAGTACTTACTAAGTGGGAGACTTTTCGATTCGCCTTTGCCGGCCTGGAATCTATTTACCCAGGAAAATGACAGTTGAGCCTGATTTCAGCCAAGTCCGGGACAAGTTTTCGGTAAGATACGAGTGCTAGCAAAGTCTAGAAATAGAAGCAAATTAAGTTTATTCAGGTTTCACTACAGTGCATGGTTTTTATATTATTACTTGTGACACACATTACTGTTTAAATGTATCTTTGCAGGCGTATACAAGCGTCTCTCCTCGCTCCTTACCAGTCGCAAGCTAAATGTATCTAAGCAACTGCGAATAGAATCGTTGAATTAAATATGAGTCTTGTTTACTGTGTTGTTCAATCCAGTTTTCATGTTCCGAAGTGATTTTTTTTGTTGACACTAAAGGGCATTCATCTACATATCATGAAAGCGATTTCGCCCGCACTTCCTAGCCAACGGCTACTGCTAGTTTTAAAAAAAGTTAGTAAATCAGGCTTCTCCCAAACCCAGTTGGAAGCCACCCAAGAACATCTTTCCTCTTAACCAATAAATTTAAACTTTTCTTTTGTTTTTCCGTTATTTCTGAAACATTTGGAAGTAAACGAAGAGCTTTCTCTGATAGCATCGTCAAAAAAAAAGAAAAACATGACTGCGTGACGGCCATTTTGTTCCAGACAAACATGCCAGAATCAGTCATCAATTAACCAGTTGGAGC